TAACAGATCTACTCAAGCTAACGAGAATACATTAAAGTAGTCATTAATAACTCAAGGATCTCCAAAGAAGTTCCTACTATGATCATAGAAGAAAAAGAGAAGAAAAAAATTGATGGGTTCCTTTCACGGATGAATTCATATCTTAGCCGCTTTACCAACAAAAGCGAAGTAAAACGAACAAAAATATTGAAACATCAGCTCAAAATAGCACGCGACCTTTTTTCATTCTTTTCGTTCTTGACAAACACAAACTTCTCCCTCAAGAAATTAAACACAAAACATAAAAAAAAAGTTGGATGAAAGAAGCCTATAAATTTATGCCTTTATCTTCACTTCAGTTATTTCTATTCCATTCCTTTAAAGAATTTAATTACCTATTGAGTCTTCTTAGTCCAAGAATATGTTTTTGGGTCGACTTCCCGCCAGGTATCAAATGTTCATTCTGTGTCAGTGAAAAAAAGGCGCGTATTAATGCCTTAAACTGATGTTTACAAAAGCGGAGGAAAATTATGGCTCTTAACTTTCTTTTTCGTGTATTTTCATCCTGTGTTCGGCACCGTAAAAGTTAATTGTAATTAGTGTAATTATTACTCGTGACTTGGGAAGCGTTTGGAAAATGTAATCAAATGGAAAATGAGCCGACAAGCTTTATTAATTAATGTTTTCTGAAAAGATGAAAGTTATACAATTTTTTTTGTCGTTACGTAACTACCGATGGTGGGTGGAATGAAATTTCAGGAATTCATTGAAAGGATATGTTTGCAATTTAAAGAAATTTCTACCGACACACATTACATGATAAAATGAAGAAAATTCTATTGGAAAAAGTCAAAACAAGTTTTTCTCTCAATCTGTATATTGTCGGCCTCAGAATCGAACGAACATGAAAACAGAAGGAAAAAAAAGACAATTTCGTCTGGAAAGTTGTGAAAATAAATTAACTTTTCTCTCAAGAGATGGTAAATTCATTGTTATTGGCATTTTGTCCCGAAGCTTTTCAACTGCTGCTGTGAGTGTTCAATTAGGAGAAATTTTCTAGTAGTTCCCAAAACAATTCCCTTGAATGTTCAAGGCACTTCCATCAACGACAGTCACAGTTCTGCGTCAATAATTGATGAAGACGCTATAAATACTTATAAAGGAAGAAAGCAACGAACACATAACATATCGTTAGCAGAATATTATTTAAGTTTTCAAGTCGCGTTTATGAAATAAAAGTCTAAGCGAGGACAAAATAAAAAAACACAAATTCTATGCCAGATTCAAGATCTCATGCTTACTACAAAACCGTTTGCTCAAATCCCGTTAAGATTGTGTTTTTCACTTGCAAAAAAATATGAAATAAAACAGAAAGAAATGAAAATCATGTCAGCTGCTTTCTTTACCACTCTCTGAGATGATTATGTTCTTCTTTCAGGAATTCATGACATGATTTGCTAGATACATGAAAGAATGAGCCGGAGGAAAGGCTTTTCTTCCCTCGAATATTTAGCATCTTTATTTTTGCTCGAGTAATTCAATATGAAGAGAGTATTCCATGTGTGCTCTTGAATAAACGGGGATGACATTTCTTATACCTGAAAATTGTATTAAATGATATCACAAAGAGTGTATAACTTATTTTTGTTATGATTATGATGACGTGTATGTCGACTTGTACGATTTAGTCGGCACGACATCATATCTTGCTGCTTCTCCTTGTGAAAAGGAAAGGAAGGAAAAGAAGCATGTTAAACACCAAATACACTTTTCACATTTGCGTCTCGACAGAATTGTTGCGAATGGAATTGTACCAAAAAGACACGAAAATATGTTACAGTTTTATTAGCATTCAACTCATACATAAAAATCATATGTTTAACATTAAGGTTCCTGCTTTGCTTCCGTATCTTTGTGTCTTTCTTATCCTTCAAATTCCATCTCAACAAGAATGAACCTGAAAAATCTTTCTACCTTTTGTTTTGATTCAATAATCTATTGAGAGGAAATTGAATAACGAAAAGAAGCTTGTCTTTAGAAAACATTGTATTGAAAATGATATCAATAACTTCTTTTAATTATAAATTAATAAAAATTATAATAGGAAGAAGAAGATTAAGAATCAAAAGTATTAAACGTCAATATTTGATTAATGTCTTAATCAAGAGGATTATTTTATTGCGCAATTTAAAAAGAATCAACACCAACTTGATTTCGTCATATTTAATAAAAATCCAAAGATTGTTAGAAGAAGAAAAATTTCGTGTCATAAAATATTAAGCGCTGCTTAACCAGCTAAATTGCAATCAATAATAACACTGTGTCAAGTCATATCTGAGGAGTATTTATGACGATCTTGATAAAATCTCATAAAGCTTTTCTCAATATTTCTATATCGCAATTAAGTGTTGCATTAACAATCAAGCTACGATAAAACGCCTGTAGTCATAAAGACGAATTTATTGCCTATATCTCTTTCTATACGATCAGAGATTTCTTCTTCTTTTTTTTACTCACCCCTCAAAGGTTAAATCAATCCTCAAATGAAGAGAGATATAATTGGCAATCTTAGCTTTTTATTACGACGAATAACAAACGACTGGCTACCGATTCTTCTCATGCAATGAATTCATTTTATTATTCTCATTTTTTCCTTGTAATTGAATTTATTCGACTGTTATTGTTTCGTACTCGAGTGAAAGGATGAACATAGTAGAAAGATAAATTCACATCTAAATCGCTCTTTCTCGTAATACTTTAAACATTTAGCCATTTGTTGCCGTCTTTGATATGACTTTCTTATCGTCTTACTTAGTTTCTCGTCTTACAGTTTAAACTTCTGTTTATTTTGCTAAGAAGGAGAATAAGACAAAAGGTCTTTGAGTTAATCTTGTAATTATTTCTGAATGCAAAGTAGAGTAAGAAGATGGAAAATATTTCTCATGTTTTATTTTTCTTTCGTTCTCACAACTTCTAATAGAAATAATAATTTTCTTAGAAAACTTTTTGTATTTTTAAAGATTTAAATGTCTTAAGTGGAATCTCAATTTAACTTATTTCCATCGTAAGAAAATTATTTTCTTAATCTGTAATATTAATTTTAATGATATTTCACTGAACTTAAAATCTTCTTAAGTCTTAAATCAAATATAAGATCTTAATCAAATAATAATAATGTTGATTGAATAAATTTCATATTTTTATGTTGAGAACAAGCAGACTTCGTTCATTTCTCTTTCAGACAAGTCTGAATCTCGATGAACTTATCTTTGCTTATAAATTTTCTTATATCGCAACAGTTGTTATTAGTGATTGTTTCATTGAAATGACTAGATCGTTAAGACTCTCGTCTCAGTTTCATTTCCTAAATCATTTAATCACATAGAGTGTACATTACAACTTAACCAGATTTGCAATCATAAAAAAATAAATGGAAAAGAGAATTGATGTCACGTTGTGCTTTAAAATCGATAAAACTCGCACTAAGTTGCGCACGAGAAAGTTGACGCCAGTCAACATATCCCACTCTAGTTTATTTAATGGCAATACAAGTCGATAAAATGATGAGAAAGAGATTCTAAGAAACATTTTGACAAATAGCATGACTTTCCAGTCTGAAAATTGAATAATTTATGATTTCCACTTTTAACTTCGAGTTTGATTTCTTTCTTTTCCGTTTCGATGTCAAACTGCCATGTAGTTTTGCTTTTGAATATCAACCATTAGTGCGCAAATATATTCAAGCATATTTAAGTGAGTAGTTAAGAAGAAAGAAAAGAAATAAATAAAAAAATTTTTCGACATTACATTTTTCAATTAACTGAAATTCAACACGTTGTTCAGCTGAGCTTCTACCACGCCATATCAAATAACTGTAACGAATTATGATTTCGATTTGCATTCCAGAAAGCTTCAAGATAATGAACGTAATTTAATGCTTACTGTTTATGGCCGATTTCTTCTTTTATTTTCGGTGAAAGTAATAAATATTTAAGCCTCAACTACATGCGACGACTCTCTTTTAATTGACCTTTGTTATGATGTTAAATGATGAAATTCACAAGCTTTATGGCATCGTTAACAACGTGACATTCCATTTAAATGCTTCCTTTTTGTTTATTGAACAATCTTATCCATTCATGTCTCACTGTGTTTGACTTTCAATTACAATTCAATTATTAAATCACAAAATTAATCGATCATTTTCAATCGTGTTTGGTTTCATTGCTGTTGACTTAAATTTACATATTCACGATTCAAGCATTAATGTTAATCTTCTTCTTACATTTCGTTTTACTGATTGTCACCTTCTAATACTTACCAACACATTGACAAATCGCATAACAAAACTAATTATTTGTTCATTCTTTCGTATTTCTCACATTTCCATATCTGTTAAAGTTCGAGCAGCAGCAACAATAGTAAGGCATTGTTGCCATACTCACACAGAAAATAAAAATATATGAAAATCAGCTGAACAAAATTTTCTCTATGGGCTTAGGCCATCAGAGCGGCATATGCAGTTTATGGAGCGAAAATAAAGGCAACAAATAAAAATAACATTTCTCACCTGCCTTTGCTGTTGTTGCTTTGTGCTTCTCGATTTTTTATATTGACGAATGAGTTTTATTTGATGTTGTGTGTTGTTTTCTTTCTTTTTTGAGAATTCAATCAAATTCTCGCGCAGTTTAATAAAAACAAAGAGTTAACAGATTGAAATGAGATTGTTTCATGTGTAAATTGACATCGTGAATATAAATTTTCAGTCACTTTTGCTAACAATGCGACACTTGAAAATCAGATTGTAATTTTATATTTTCAATTGTTTCGATTATTTTAATTGAAAATGACAATTAATTGAATGGAACTCTGGGGGATAATGTTACGTGATTCAAGTAATTAATGCACATTTTTTGGCTTTTCGAATTAAGCTTCGTATCAGGTCTGTTACCACTGCAAATGACATGAATCATAAATAAATAAAAACAGTTATTACAGATGAAATTTCATGTTAAAATGACATGCTTTCAAGTGAAGATTGCGACATACTTGTTTCGGATGCATTAAAACAAACATGCAGTAACGGTTTACAAGCGAGTTATTTCTCTTAATTTTCCTTTTTGCAAAAAAATGAAATTTACTTGGTTAAAGATCAGAAGTAATCATAATGAATCAAAATAAAAAGATGAGGAGAGAAAAAAAACTACCAATAAAAAGTACGAGAGATTTTTACGGCATTTGTTAATTAGATAATGTCTACTTCGAAGCTGGAAAGAATTGGTGAATTACTACAATCATTGCATCTGTTTCGCGCGATCAACTGACTTCATTGTTATTATGGAAAGGTAGACAAGAATCACTGAATCACTCACTTTACTTTTTATTATGATGAACATTGAAAAAAATGTAGGAGAATTGTGATTACTAAAAGCTCTCGTTTGCTATGTATCTGAAAAGATTTTTATTTTTCTTTCTTATCCACGTTCGCCTCTTACCCGAAACAAGCCTGAAAACATTAAGCCAGAAAAAATCTCTCTTTTACTTTGGTCTTATTCATTTAATAATTGTAGTGGAAATACAACCTGAATTTATATTGCTCTTGATACCGTTATTGGCTCTTTTTATTTCATTTTTATATTGCATGTTTGTCCAGAAGTTTGATCATTTAGATATTCGAATTGGTCATCGTAAAGGCTAAAAAATCATTGTAAGAAAATCTAACTCTGTACCAAGAAACATTGTCATGCTTTAAAAGATAATCGCTTTCCTAACGTTTATCCCTATCACCTTTTGTTATCTAAATAATGTCACGAAATATGGAATCGGATTTCTCAATGTGCTTATCCTAGATAAAGTTGTTCTTATCTTATCCTCTCTGTTTATCATCTTTAATGTTTGCAAGAAATTTATTTTCTTGAAGTCTGAATATTTGATAAACAAATGACTCGCCGCAACCTTTTGACTTTTTACATCCTTTTCTCTTTCTTATCCTTACAACAATCCCAACATCACGAAACACTGATAATAACAACAAAAAATAGGATTCCCAAGTTCTTATGTAATTCAAGAGGTTTCGTGAGTGATATTCATCACTTTCCTTTTACGATTTCTTCTTCTTGAAAGATTTTCCCAACATCATTTCAGTCAGAAAAATATTCAGAAGTGCGACGTAGAAATATTTTGTTTCAAATGATTCTTTCTTACCCGCCATCTCTCCGTAGGGATGGGAAAAAGGGAAAAAAGTTGCTTTTATGTTTATACAAAGTTTACTTGACTGAAAATCTTTTTGAAATACTAAACAAAGCCCTTTGGTTTTGTTGGCTTTTCCATTGAATTCTCTTGGAGAAAAACAAAAGCAACAGAAGCAATGAGAAGCTTAATTGTCATAATCATGTAAATTGAGAAGTGAGAATGGATCTGAAATGTAAATATCCTTATTGTGACCTTAATTATTGCTTATATCATGAACTGATTTCTGTTTACGGCAAATCTTCGAGTTATGTTTGGAGAAGCAATTATGAAAGCAATTAAAATAATATTTGTCACAGCAGAAGCATTTCTCCCTCTTTTCCAAAGAATTAAATGACTTATTACGAATCGTAATTTGTCTCCAATAAAAAGGTTTTCATAGAACAAAATTATCATTGGGTGACTCTAATGAGAATTGTCTGGAAGTGAAATAAAAGAAATTATGCAAGTCAATGTCTTCATTACGGTTTAAATGTTATCGAACAAATTCTTTCGTTTTTCTGTGAGTGGTTACGTCAGTGAAATGAAGGGAACTTCCTTTTGCAATGAGCTCTTTTTTCTAAGAAATCAGCAGCGTTTGTTCATAACACTTGCATAAACGAAGCTATAAAATGCGCTTTAAACTTTTCGCTTTTCATAATGTTTCATTTGTTTTCCTTGCGGTGGAAAGTTTTCTTTTTTTGCGCATTGGCATTGCTAAATATTAGAACTTCGCAGTTAAACTATTTACGTCGCAGTTATTCTCTGATGAATGTAAGTTCTGTGTTTTTCCACTCTCACAGTTTGTTTTTCTGTTGAGTTAAATTACAAATAATTGCATGAATATTTATCTTTTTCTGAATCTGAATAAACTTTATACATTGATGATTGCTGCTGCTTTAATGAGCAAGAATCTTGCAATTTTAAATCGTTATCTGGAGTTTTAATAGATTAGTCAAGTGAACATATTGATAAAGAAAAATCAGTGGAATTGCGACACATCATCACATCGCATTTTATCAACGAAAATATTTTTTGTAATCCGGCACAGCTGTGTAAAAGAATTTCGATGTTTTAATGTCATTAATAACGTCGCATTACCGAAAAAGAAAATAAGCGATTGAAATGTTCATAAACACATAAAGCCTGCATATAAAACGACTTATTCAATATGTAAATGAAGGAAGGAAAAAAATCCAGTATCTCAGAAGAAAGACTTCAAGTATTCGAAAGTCGCTTCGTATAATTTTTTTCTTATTATTGAAATCGAATCAGACGAGAAAACTCCGAATCGGAATGAAATGAGCGTTGAGTACGAACGATTAATGTTGTTTTGAAAAATTGAGTAAAGCTGAAAAGAAATTGGAGAAAATTTCACATGAATTGAGAAGAAAAACAACTTCGTGTTACCTTCGGAAATTTCCGTGGTTATTCAACAAACAACAACCAATAGTAACAGTTCTCCTCGTAACATTCGGTTTTGTGTCTTCCACTTTTCTCTACATCCGAGCATTCAGTCGAGTTTATACTTTTGATCTGTTAAGACGTAAATTCTGTATCGCTGTTCTCATTTGAGATTTTATTTTTTTTGTGTATGGAAAAAGAGAGAAAACACAGTGGAAAAACACTGTTGTTGGATATTACAAATCGAGCAAAAAATATATAAATTTTACGACAACACGTGACGGTGTAGTGAAGTTGATTTTTGCACAATTTCATGAAAAAAGAAGTGATATCGACAGATAATTTAAAAATAAAATAAAAGATTTGCAATTGTTTTTAACGTGTCAAATAAAAACTTTTATATTAAATAAATTTCTAAAAAGTAAAGTGAGAATACAAATAAAAGCGGTAAACGCAGAAAATTTCCCCAAGAAAAATATAACGCAAATAAATACAAAAAGTTTCAATTCCTTCTTCCGGCGAGCAACCTCGGATTCTGCGAAAGAAGATTGTGTAATGTAATCAAATTAATTGGGTTAATTTCTTAAAATAACAAAACGAAGTTATTGGATAAAAGTGAGAAAAGTGATAAGTTTTTTTTTGGATTACCACTTAAGCCACGGAAGCTGTGGCCAGAGGATTACAACACCCGGATTAGTTATTAAAGTTAATATTTTGCGTATTTAGTTTTATGAATAACAAGAATATAATTATTAATTAGCTGCCCGGCAACTACACCGCTTTAGTAGACTTGTTGTCAATCTTTGAGATTTAAATTAAGTTAATTCATAACAAGTCACAGAATAAATCGTTTTAATTAATTAATCTAAACTGCATAAACAGTGAAGTGTATATTGTGCATAATTAATTAATCGCTATAGAGTGCAAAAAGAGAAAAAAGAGACTTGAAAGCAACTGACAAAAAAGTATTTTCGCATAAAATATATGTGTAGAAGTCTCCTTGAAGAAGTCTGAAGTTAAAGTTTAATTTATTATTTATGAAATGGTGAAATAAAATTGCGGCTTTTCATTCGAAATTCAGTTTCGTGTTGTGTGAAAAAAGAGATCAATAAATAATCTAAGTGCAAAGTCGACAAGCTTATTCAATGCGCTTGTTAATTCTCTCGTAAATATCGAGATATTTTGCTGAATAATAGCACGGAAACATTTCAAACATTATTTGTCTTTTGGATTATTTTTCGCTGTTCACAGAAAGTCGAGACAAAGAAGAAACATTGGATTGCTTTTCTGGCGACTTGAGAAAGTATGTAAATAAAGTTTTTAATTTAATTTTTTTATAACCACAAGTTTAAAGCGAAATGAACAACAAAAAAATCAAAGCTTCGCACTCAATTTAAGCCATCATGAACAGATCACGTGCCATTGATATGTCAAATATTTTCGTGAAGAAGAAAAAGAAAACAGAATTTATTGCTTACATGCGAAATCACGAAGAGAAAAACAAAATTTTGTTGCCTCTCGCAAGTCGCTTGAAATTCAATTAGCAACTCTTGTTCTATCGCATAAATATTTGTATTTTTATTTCTATCCAGAGTTATTGGAATTATTAAATTATAAATTATGAACAGAAATCAAATTCAGATTGACTCATGAACCATATCGAAATAACTTTTTATTGCGAGGGATTTTTCTTTATCAATTTCTTCTTGGAATTTGCCAAAAACACTTATCAGTTCATTTATCGTTTGTTTTAATACCAAAGCTTATAAAATTCATTTCGTAATTTATTTCAATTGACGTTTGTAGTGATATCATTAAATGTCGCCTTTCAAAATGTTGAATATCAATAATTTATCCGCCCGCCAGCATCGACATCTCTGAAAATTAATAAAATTTGTTTAATCGGAATTTTGAATTCAATCGTAGGAGAAAATTGAAACAAACAGAAACATTTCTTTTGATCACAGCATGTGCGCGGTGTAAAAAGAAACTTTAAAGACATAATCAGCGCAGATCACTGAACGAGAGTGAAGAAGAGAAAGACGATTATCGAAAAGGCTTAGAACGAGAAGAAGAGCGTGTTAATAAGATATGAAATTATGATAGATGAAGAGAATAAAAGTTGGGAGGTCGTTAAGCAACTTTAATATTTTTATAGTCTTGCCACCAAAATAAATGTTATTTGTTGACTTATTTTTCGTTGACTCTCATAATTTATTATTTCACATTGAAGAAAGCGAACCGAGAAGTGTGAAAAAAACAAAGTTAATAAAATATTTGATCAAAATATATTTTTCATATTAGAAATTCAATGCATATTTGGGGTCATGATGAATAAAAGCAAAATAAATTTTATTGTGAAGGAAATAGAGTTAAAATTCGAGGAAATTTTACGATAAAGAAAAAAACACGAAGAATTGCGAAGTTTTCACTTTCTGAATTGCTACCATTCATTCTTTTCATAGAATGGTGTGAACTTTGAGCATTAAGAAATGAAACGAAACTATTTTACTAACACCCCACTAGTAAAAAGACATAAATTAATGTCAAGAAAGGTGACTGCGAAATTCAAACAACTTACATCCATCATAGGCTTTGTTGGTGATCTCTAATTTATGCCATATTTAAAGAAAAAATATACGAGCTAGATATTTAAGGCCCATCATGGATAAATTATAAGTTCAGGTCTTCCCATTAAAGACTTCGAGGCTAAAGTGGTGGCGTAAATTATTATACAATTTGTTAACCGATCGTTACTTGAATACTATTCTGTTCCCTCCGTTTTCTCTCTCTTTTTTTGTCGTTATTGTCAAGCACCTTCCACTTTAGACACATTGATGCTCAAACCGTGCAAATAACTCAAGAGCTAAATTCTTCATGCCACAACAAATGTAGACGGAATTTTGCAACAATTCAATACATCGTTGAAATGATTCGATGTGAATTTTTTCGCAATTTGTCACACTTCTAAAAAAATCTTCTTCACTCAACGAAGACGACGACAAAACTGCGACATAATTTCTCATTATTTTCCAATCATCTCCCTTAACACTCTCAGAATTTATCAATGAGAAATCTGTTCAATATTGCGAGAAAAATTGCCTATCACGAAATGAAAATGAGTCTAGGAGATGATCGGAAGGGAGAAAACACATTTTCCGACATTGAAACTGATTCGATGGAAAATTCATAGCGAAATCATGCGACGTATTATTCCGCATGAGTCATTTAAGACCGAGAGAAATAAGAAAGAAATTTTTATGACTTTTCCAACAAAAAATTGCGCAGTGTTAAAAATTTGTTTATGAAAGTAAAATTTTTAATGCGATGCGGGGATTTCCAGAACTTTAACACTTGATAATGTTATTTCAGGTTACCTGTCGGGAAATTCACGGTCGTATTGCTTCAAGCTGAAAGTAATGACGACAATGATGTTCTCTCGGTTTTGACAACCCAACCAAAAACAAAATGTCAACTCTTGTTTATTCGTGGTAAAGCTGTTTAGACTTCCTTCTTCTTTCATACATTTCCTCCCCTTCTTCACTCAATTTTCCGTAATATTGATTCATCCTTCTGGCCGGAAAAACCAGATAATGATAGTGAATTTTTCTTTTCTTCTTACACTTTCGAGTGGGTGTCTACGTGGCAAACGAGATAGAACACAAAGATCTTTCACATTCACAGATTTCTTCTATACTTTTATTTAATGACCTAATGGGAAAGACTTTGAAAGAGAGAAAACAGAATTGAATAAATACATGTGGTTGGTTGCGTTGACATCTTTAATCTCATAAGTAAATGAATGTGTGAGAAATAGCTTGTGAAGCTTCGGGTAATCATTACTTAATTGTTGTGTCTGGACGTAACACTCCATAATGGGTTTTCCAAAATGGATTTTTGTTTTCTTGATAAACCATAAATGAACATGGAAAGTCACAAAATAACATTCAATCGTTGACAACATTTTCTCAAGAGATGACAACCACAATATAGAACGGTAGACAGAATAGTATAAAGGTTAATACTAAATTTATCCATCTTTTGACATTAATGCTTAGCTCTCTGCTCCCAAAAGTTTGCTTTTGCTTTTCTGTCATCTTTACTTCTTTTCATATTCTTTTTTTATCTCATGTGACACTGTTGTGAAGTGAATTATGTTAAAATTCTCTCATGATCATAAGCACCGATGACACTTTGATTAGTGCTTTGAAGAAAAGCATTTTAAAATCTTTTCTATTCTAATCAACATAAAATTTGCTTACTTAAGCTTTTTTTCTTCTGTTTTTTTGTTGTTCCATCTATTTTTATGACACTTCAAAAGCATCTTAACTTAATATCGATTTATATTTTTGAAAGGAAAAAGAAGTTTTTGCAAAAATAAAAGTCGAGTAGACGGTCGGTATACTAGTGGTTGTTAAATCTAAATGCTGATGGATAAGAAGCAGAAGAAGACATGTTTAGATAGATTGAACATCAAGCATATCTGATTCCACTTCTTTTTGCTTTGCTTCGCTTCTTTTCTTCTGACGTTTTTGCAGTCATAAATCAAAATGAAAATAATCTGTCACAGTTTATAAAGTTCTCATCACTTGCCAACTAGTAACATGACCCGTATCAACTTCATCTACTGCAATCTAATCAGTAAGAAGTTCTCAAAGCTATTTGAAAATTGAATTAGGTTGATTTATGAACTTGAAATGAAAGACAAACCCTCGAATATTTCTTTTAATATAAATTAACGAACATAAAATTTAATGAAGATTGAAACTTTATTAAAATGAATGATTAAAGAAAATCTTATTCGCCAGCAAATGTTCCTAATAACTATGCAAATATTTTTATCGTTTAAGACATGCAAATAAGGCAAATAAAAAACGATTCGTCAACATCAATTTGTTGGCAAATGGCAAACATTTCATAAGCTCCATTTGGTATCGAGAGAAAACTGCTTGGTTGCTTGCTCTCAATCGAAGAATAATAAAATTGATGCAAGCCAAAAAGAAATTATATTGAAATCGTAGAATGAATGATATTATGCATAAAAATGAGATTTTTTTTTTCCTCCGAACATTGTAATATTTTTAATGATACATTTCACATCATGTTTGATTTTAAATTGCGTTTCTTTCGAAACATGCATGAGACAACAATCATTTTATACAAAATGAATGAGAATCAAATGTTATAATTTAAGTTTCAAGCGAAAATACATCAGACATGAGATTATCAATCCAATAATTTCTCTTCTTCGCATTATTTCTTATCGTCTCGACGGCATTTGTCTGTTTTTAAAAAGATATTAAATTGAAGTCGAGGGAGAGTAGGAAAAAGAAAAGAAAACGAAGAATGAGACAACAATTTCTCGGCTTTTTCTAAGTATGAGTAAGATTGTGCAATTGCGCTTTAAAGTCTAAACTTTGCCAACAACTCATTGCATCACAACCTAGAATTTTGATATCATTTGAAGAATCTGCGGTCTAATTTGCAACAGAGAATAAGTTTTCGAAGGCATATGAATGAATTATCTTTCAACTCATAAGAGGAAATTTATGTTTTTAATTTCATAAGAATCAGATATATAAAGAAAATCGATATCTGGCGTTGAAAAATAAAATCCTAGAGACAAGCACACTAGAACAGCTGCTTCTATTTATTCCTCTCATATACAATTTTTTTTTGGTTCTTAGTTAGTCTTAATCCATTAACGACATTTGAAAAAAATAAACGCTACAACACAAGGAGAAATAAAATTGTTGGAAAGATTCCATTTTTGCGCCTCATCAATTCTATTGTCATTTAACGAAACAGTGAATTAAAAACGAGGTCGCGAGGCTTATGATTTTTATTTCGCTGAACATTATTGCTATTTTAAGTGTTAAGATTAAATGTGTTGAATATAGCAAACAACTCTAAACTCTGCTGAAAAATGTCTTGTCTTATCTTGTGTGAATGGAGATGTGCGAAAAATTTCGATTCAACTTCCCTAAACGTTGTTTGAGATTCCAAATATCTGAACAGTAGACAAAGCGAGCCAAAAACATCGAACGATTCATGTTAAGAAGCTCATCAAATATTCATAATGTATAGCCAAAAGCTATAAATTAAAACACGTTGCACACATTACCAGACGATGTGACCCGCTTGGTTTCCTTCAACATTTTTTGATTTCAAATCAAGTGGACTTAAATAAAATAGGAAGTGTTCAATGTTACAAAACGAATGTTTTGATACAAAAAAGCAAATATTTTGTCGAGCTACATCTTCTTGTCCCACGTTATTCGGTTCCAATGTCGTGGAATTTCAATCAGCAAACACGAACATCTCCAAAGTGAAAAATTATGAAACTTCGTGTGTTCAAATCGATTTGAATGTCGCTTGTGAACGGCAAGTGGTCTTTAAAAGCTAATAAGTCAGACAGTTTAACTGCTAAACACAAAATTGGCAAATGGACACAAATGTCTTTATAATCAAATTTAAAATTTTTCAGCCTTGTCTGAAAGTTGAAAAACTGGTCCATTCCCGATATCGTCGTCAATTCGCAGCCAAGTTAATGAATATTTTATTAGGCTCTTTTTTGTGTGCATTTATTTTAGTTTTTATTATCGCAAATTGAAGTTGTTAAGTTTAGTTTATTACAGAATGCGACAAAACTAACGACAAGTTGCTTCGATTAAATATTTTTTACAGTGATTTTAATTGAGAACGTGAATAATCTCTCCTTCCTGAAAAAGTTTAATCACTCAACCTCAGTGCCTGATTTAGTGTTCGATTGACAAAAGACCACGTCGATGGAAAGATTTTTTTATTTACGCAAATAGCGACACGGAAATTACCATACAAAAGGAATAATCATTATGCAAATTGTATTCAAAGAAAATGTATGCATTGAGTTTAATGCTTTTGTGAATAAAGGAATAAGCAGAACAATAAATAACAAATTATTATGCTTCTTATAGCAACGTGAGTGTGTGTAGATGACGTTCCATGTGCTGCCATAGAATGCAAGCATATCTGTACAAATAGTGCAGTTTTTTGAAACAAAAAGTGCCTCCACTTCATACTTTGCCAACATTATCGCCAGTCTATTTATTTTTACAGCTATAATGGCACTTAACATTCATTGAAGCGTTTAATGTTTTGTATCTTTTATGTCAAGAATGAGAAGAAACTGAGATGTGGTGGCACACATTGAAGTTTAAAGCAAGCAGTGACCACGAATGAAATTTCTTCGATATTTTGCTTTTCTCATTTCATTTAACAATCGATTCATCATGAAATGGAATTTTTTTCGTCGCGGTTTTCAAGAAGAAGTTGAGATCCGTGAAATAATATGTGTTTACTAAAGAAACAAAATAAAAATGTTAGTAATGAATGAATAAGCAAGTTGCGGTTCCTCAACTTTCCGATGCACAAAGAATTTTTAATTAAGTTTCTTCATCGCATTGTGCAATTGTTTTCAGTTGCTACGCAGTTGGAGAGTAGAATTTCTTCCGTCGACAAATTAGTGATTTTTTTCCTTTCTTTCGTCAAGACGTAAAACAAGCAACTACAAGTATCATTAAATGCAGTTTTTTATTTCTTTTTGCAAAATGGAAAGCGACAGCATCTTAAGAATAATTTTTATTACTTACATGTCGCCGCATAATGTACTTAGGTGAAAAAATAATTAAATAACATCGCGTCTCGTCATCTTTCAACTAAGTATTTATTAAGCGACAGCAAGCAGTGAGCAGGAACGGCAACACGACAAATGCAAATTTGCGTGAATTTTTAAATTATTTAAGTTGAAGAGAGTTTCAATCATGCGATGAAATCTTTCTCGCGCATCATCACAAGTCGCTGTTAATGCATGAAAAACTTGATGAAAGGCAAAGTAGAAATATTTTCAGAAACACATGTTCATGAATTTATCAACCTATCCAAGTTTTTTGAATAAGAAGGAGAACAATTTATTTGGCTTCTCGTGTCGAGTTTTTCTTTGTTATTCGACTGTTGGTACAAATTATATTCTCGAAACACATTTTTGTCCACCACGAACCGATTCCAAAACATAAAAGAAAAGTTTTAGATAAGTTAGATGATCAATGTACATTTCAATGACAAAGTTAAAAGGAGAACTTTAAAATATCATGAATTATTACGGTCGAGTTGAGCGCAGCTTTTACTTTGATACGAAAAACATCGTCGGGCAGTTTGGTGATGCTTCAAAAAGGAAAAATAATAATAACGATAATAGTAATACCACAACACAATTTTAATTGCATACAACAGGTGCAAAAAGCAGCATTTGTGAATTAGCTAGAAGGGCAAAATGTGTTTTTATATGTAATCATTTTCATTCTGTATCTAATCATTATGTTTATGCTTCTTATTAGGCCATGTGTTAGACATTTCACAACCAAACCCGATTACGAATACAATTCGATGAGAAAAAATAAGAGAATAAAGAAAGATTGGAAGGAAAATGTGCAAACAAATTTTTCAGCTGTATCGACTGAAACGATTTTTGCAAAATGCTTTTGGCTTTTCTGGTCTCGTTGTTGATGCTATTGACAATGAAGGCTACTAAGTTATTCTAGTCAGTCATGTAAATAATTGCTTTAAATTATAAATTTCAAACTAAGAAATGGATTTGTAGAGAGGACAAGAGATTGTGTCACGAAACAATGAAGTTTATTTTGTTCTATCCTGTCATGAAGTTGATCTTTATGTTCCATCACTTTTAAAATGCTTCTTTTCAAAGGGAGAGACAATTGGTTAGACCTTGAGAACATTACATGTATCGCAGTTTATTTTATTAAATACTTTCAATGAATACCAAAGTAACATTAACGTCTCGATTCTACTCTCTTTGTCTTAAAAGTCTCGTATTTTGTTCCGCTCTTTGTTATTCAACGAAGTGATAACATTCAACTCGCATATGAATAATTTTTATTACCCGTGACTTCAGTCTAAATCACACTTTTATTTAATTCCTTCATTAGCAGCGACAGAGTCTTGAATAATTTATTTATGACACGTTCTACATAAATATGTGCCTGAACGTTCTTTCTACTCTTTTTTTTCTTAATCTGTCTCGAAGAATGATACTGAACAACAGAAGAAAAAGACGATTTTTGAAGATCCTGTTTTGTGATTATTGATTTTGAAGTAGTAACAAAACAAAACTAAGGCAACAGTTTGCATGAAAAGCATTCGAAGATCTTAAAAATTTATCCGCTTTGATTTATATCCAAGCTATGAAGCTACTATCAGTTAATAAAGCAACAATTTTACTAAAGGGATTTGATGAATGATAACCATTTAGATAATGAAAACTAAACCACAAACCTAATCAGTAACTAGCATATTAAATTAATAGTTAAAGTTTATAAATTAAATAATTGCTAGCCTTGCTTTCATCTTTTATGATTCACGTCATAGTCATAGCCCACAGTCAAAAGCACACAGTGCGGTGAACGTGACCAAAGCGAAACCAATATAAGATTAAATTTATGATTTTAATATAGATTTTTACGGCTTTTCCCCTTCATAATACTAATGAAAGTTTGTAGTCAGCAGGCCTTATATTAAGAATCGTAAAGAGCAATTCTTGGTAATCTCATTTTATATTCAACCTCACTTCGGCTTCTTTGCAATCAAAAACTGTTAAAACCTTTTCTTTGCCAAACTTAAATCGACTTAATCGTATTTGGCGTCGGTTGTGACGTTAAAGATAACAAACAAATGATGATGCAACTTGAAGTGAATCATGATTATCGATCAGAAATATAAATATCTGCATTATGCACTTCCCCTTTTATTTTTACATCTTTCTCAATGCAGACTGAATGCAGAAACGTTCGAAAATTAATCCAAATATTTAATTGCGGAGGCTACTGTGGTGGTCCATTTCATCATTGATAAAATATTAAAAAATGCAAACGGAATAAGTTTGAAAATATTTTATTCAATAATTTTTGATCAAAAATTTTAAGAACTGCCCCAACCAATGGAACATCAAGTTCCACAATTCAATGTCGTTGTACAACAGCTTCCACAATTTGGAGGAACGCAGCAACTTACACAATTCAATGGTGTTATGCAACCTCCACAAAGTGATGGGATTCCAGTCATACAACTTGGTGGTGCACAACATCTAGAATGAGACTTGAACGCCTTCATATAAACGGTTTCGTAACAATCCGGATAAAATTGTTTGCAATGCTTTTTTGGTCTGAAATTTTTTACTCTTGGTGGTAATGAACAACAATTTGGTGCGGAATAAGAATCTGGACATTTTGGCGGTCGCTTCAGAAGTTCATATGTTGGAGAACACGATTTTTCAGGAGGTTCGCATGAAGTCTCACATGGTGGACAAGAATATGAGTAATTTGGCTCGCAGGAATCATCGACTGGTTGTGGAAGAGTTTCAGAGATACCCATGACTTGAAGTTTTTTCTAAATTTTTCTTCACTAAACAGATAAAGAATGTTTGAACAAAAGTTCTTTAACTCTAAAGATTAGTTTCTTACCAGGAAATTTTAAATTCTTTTTTTGTTTTTAGATAATTTTTATTTTTTTATTTTAAACACGACTTGTTTCCAAAGTTAGAAAATGTTCTGAAGATAATTTTTAAAGTTACTTTTCAAAGGTCACTAACAAACTCTGCATTTCGTCTAAAAAGTCAACTTAAATCGACTAAACCGCAATTGTGACGTTAAAGATAGGAAACAAATGATGATGATGCAACTTGAAGTGAATCATGATTATCGATCAGAAATGTAAATATCTGCATTATGCACTTCCACTTTTTATTTTGTTTATTTTTCTCACTCAATGCAAACTGAAGTGGATTATTAAACATTAAATATTCATTAATTTTTAGCTTGTCTTTTGCGATATGTAGAAAAAAAAACACAGAAATGAAGGTGAAATGTTTTTGTTTGCACTTAGAACTAGAAAATCGTTTGAATTTTTAATGAGTTTTCAATTGCCCATTTCTCTGCTTGTAATTGCGCTCATGCAAAGCCCTAAGCGCCATCAGAGTTGAAGTGTGTGAATAAAATGCTGCTTCTTGCCAGCTGAATATTAGTTTTTCTTCCTCTTTTATATTCTGTTGTTCAATATTTCTTTCTGTCGACCTTTTTTAACTGAATAGTTTCTCATATGGAGGTGAAATTTTATTTTTAGACATTTTTGTTGTTTTTCTATTTGGTTTTACGTGAACAACTGCATGATAAATCAACCAAACATTGAAAAGAAAGGAAAATACATAAATATTGAACAATACACTGCACTGTCAATAATCGTAATATGATCAAATAAATTAAATAACAATATGACTTATTTACAAAATGTTTCTTCTCTCTGATATTGTTTTCGAATTAAAATTGAAGTCAAGCGTCAAGCTTGTTTTTTATTACTTATAATGAATGGGAAATTTGTTTTCGTTTACAGTGTTTGATGTTGATATTTTGTAAACATTGTGAAGTTTAAATAGAGTGAGTTAATAGATCGCTATCAAAAAGTGAGAAGGAAACGTTATGAAAAGTTATTACAGTAAAACCAAAACAAATAATTGAAGTTTCAAAAAGCAAAGCGAATGTTTATTTGTTTATATTGCTATTTTTTTTTTTTGGTTTGTGTATCAAAACACTCGAAGTTTATCATGTTTGAAAAACAAACACACATCGATATCAACACCTAAAAGCAAAGTAATGATGTGAAGACCATTAAACGATTATTCGAGAAACCATACAACGAAAAACAAAAACCAAACTAATTTAAACTTTATAGTCCATCTACTGGCATGGAATTAAGAAACTTGAAGCTTACATGAACTTAGTCGAGATTAATTCGTTCTCCTAAGAAAACATTTCAAAGAATCCATAAACCTCATCGGCTTAAAAACATAGTTATGATTATGTGTAACACAACTTTCCGCTCCCAAGAACGCCCTAATAATTATTTTAACTTAATAATCAAACAAATGAAGAACATAAACTTGATAAGTTACTTAAGAGAACATAAAGAAATGTAAAAGTTATGCCTTTAATCGAACAAAGATGGTTTTGTTTTTGATTCAAAAACTTTGACTTTCATTATTATAAAATCAAATCTCGTCTTTCAAAGTTGAAAAATTTTATTCCCAATTGGTTGAAACTTAATTCACAAGAAAGTTTAATGATTATGTTGAAAAATTATTACTGACATGAATTGATTTTCCTTTCGAAATTCACTTTTTATAACTCATTTTGTAGGATTCGACGAATGACTATGATTCCGAGTATCATTCTCTACTCGTTTATTCTCTCATTATGGTGAAGTTCTCTCTACTAAATAAAACACCAACACAAGAGGGAAATTTTCATTTTTCATGCTCTTCTTGTGGACGGAAAATTCCATGAAAAGTCCATGTGGAATCACGTAGCAGTCGTAAAGAAAAGAACTCTATCTCTTTTAAGATTATATACAACGGCTTTATGTAGTGCTTAGTAAGCTTGAAATAAAAACCGATAATTTAAAAGTGTTTTCGAGTGAAATATTTGTCTTTAATCTTCATATCTAAATATTTTCACAATCTTTTTCTAAGAAACACTCAAAGTGAAGGTGAAAAATCAGAGAAAATCACGCAATGGCATGTCGTGAGTGCTTTGACACATTGTCTCATCAAACTCATCAGTCAAATTGCTTTGCTCAGTTAAAAAGATTATTTCCTCATGTTTCTTTCTTTTATGTTAAATATTCTTTGATGATTTCTTATGTCGATTCATTCATCATGTTTCTTCAATGCTGCAATAAGAGAGTTTTAATACGATTTAATTTTGCAATAGAAAACAACACTTGAACCTTGAATGTTCAGCACGGACAAACTTTTTCTTTGTGAACATCTCTTTAAACTTATCTATAGTCAATGACAACACTCTACCAAATAACAATCAAGAATTAAACAATAAAGTTTTAATTAAATTTCAACAATGTTTTAGAGAGTAAAGTTTTAAGAGAGCGCGGGGACATGAAAGTAGTTTTTAAATCCTGGTAGATATAAACCGAACATTTTAGTTTTATTACTTGAACTTAATCTGGCTAGTAATAGTTTTCCATGTCGTTGGAAACAAAAGAAGATTCTGTAAGCTCAAAATTTAATAACGAAATTGTCTTTCATTGTGATAAATTGTAAATAAAATTGATTTTCTTTAATTACAGTTTCCTATTTTTCTTCACTTATGTTACTGCTGTTATGATAAGATCAATTTACAATAATAAATTGTTCTTCCTCCGTCTTATTGACAGACGAGACAAATGAGAGCATGAAATCAAATAAAAGAAATTGTTAATTGGCAATTATAAATTCTTGATCAATTTCACCAACGCGTTTTTTAATCTATTCAAAGATTCATTGAACGAACAAAAGACATGATTGTGAAATTTGATGACGATCATTGACGATGAATATTGAATAAGTCTTCTCAGTTTTGACGTCATTTCAATACGTCAGCAGAATATTGTAAAATTTCGCGATATAAAATCATCTAACGAAATTGTGCATTAAATTAAACACAGCGCAAGCATTTCACATTTACTGGAAGGTAGCAAAGAAATCAGAGTTTCTTTAAAACAATAACATTACCAAGGAAGGAAATGACTTTCAACTTAACACGAGAACGAGTGAAATTTATGATATTTATCTTAATTGCTTATTATTTGTTATTAAATATCTGCAACATTTTTTATGATTTCAACGAGGGAAAATAAATTTACTTGTTTCTTACACATTCACTTCATTCATGTTCATAAATTTGCGTAAGTGTTTCATTTATCACATTCAATATTACGTCAGCAATATCGCAGAATAACGTCAGCCTAGTTTGGTTGTTTTCCTTCAACCTTATTTGATTCAATTCTTCAATGTTTAATTACACAAATGTTTTTATTTATCATGACGTTCATTGAGCGGTGGGAGTACTAAAAACGGAAGTAGTAAAAGCCACTGCGGTTTAATTAAAATTTGTTAGAAAAAAATTCAATTAAGCTTTATATTTGTACAACATCGGTTGGTGCCAAACGACAAATGTGTATGCAAATAAACTCTACAACAACGCTTGCAATTCGAATTTATTTTCACATTTTTATTCTCTTGTTTACAATAACATCAGCGGGCAAAATAATAAACGAATACAGAGTTGTGTCAAGCAGTTGACTGATAAGCAGTCTTTTGAAAAACCGTGGGAATTTGGTCAAAGTATTCCCTAAAGCTAATTAATTTTATACGCTTTTGATAAAGATTTCAATTGTTTCTTCAATTTTTATTTGTGAATCATAAAACTGAGGAAAATATTTTATTTCATGAAGTAAAATTGCGCATGATCTTCTTCATGCCAAAAATTCTCTTTTTTTATACAAAATTTTGCTTTCGTTTCCTCAAAGCTTTTCGCTACTTTCAATTCAAATTCAATATTTTTAATCTTTTATATGCCGTTAACATCAAGGATTTGCTATGTTTGAATATATGCAGTGATAAGATTCTGACAACAAAATCGGATGAAAACTCGAGTGGAATTGAAATTTCAATTTCATAGATGAATAAAAACTTTTTTTTTTATTTTCATTTCATTACGTGAAGTTCATCCGCTTTAAAATCCACACGATGGTGAAATGTAACTCTTGCATAGAGATTATATTTAATCCAATTTGTTCATCCAGAAAAGCTTCATGTACGAGTGAAGGTCAAAAACACGATTCGAAAATTCAACACTTACTCATTATTTTAAATTGAAATTATCTTTTGTTATTTTATGACGCTTACACATCGCCACTTTGGAAAGCTTAAATTACATAACATTACAACAAGTGGTATTTTATCAGTCTGGTTTTATAAAAGGTTCGGCTTATAGTTTACGGTATTAAATACGCTACGAAGTGAATAATTTAGAAGAAGATATGTGGAGTAAAGTTTTAAGCTTTTTAGATTACGTCGAGTGAATCTGTTTGATGTTTGTAAACCTTTGAGAATTCCAGTTAGATGGCAAATGATACAAAAATGATGAACTTTGATGGTTGACATTTAATATCCTTTATTTATCAACCCTAGCATGAGAAAACATTCCCAAATTCTTATCTATTTACCTCTTAAATAACTTGATCTTGTCATACAACATGATGTCGTGACTTGAAAGCTTTTCTTGTTATTTCTTTACTTCTGTTCATTACTTACAACCTCACCATTATGTTGCCTCTTTTTGTGGACATGAATGGACTTGAAATAATCTTACACTTCAATCTTACACTTTTCGGGAACGAGCAAAACATTTCAGCGAACAAATGATAATCATTAATAATCCTCGAGAATGTTTATGATGGAACGGAGAGCCCTAACTTTCGTATCATCGCATCTTCTTCTTTCGACATCGTTTCAAATGAAGAAGAATAAAATATCAGAAGTAAATAGTTGATGAGCATTCAGACAAGAGTAAGAGAGCGATTATGGAGTAAGGCAAGTAGCAAGTAATTTATTCACATCACCGATGTTTTTGCTTGCTTCATTCGCTTCAAATCGAATAAAAAGTTTTTATTTCTTTCCCTCTCTCTCACGCGAAAGTGAGTGAAAAACGAGTCTAATAAAAACAAATGTGGCAAAGTGATAAAATTCTCTCTCGCCTGCAACTCGTGTGTATTTATTTCAAGAAAAATAAAAAGTGTAGACGGGCAATGTACAATCTTGTAACATGAATGTTTTGCTCACAAAATGGAAATCAATGGAGCCTGACAAAGGAGCTGTTAAAACGCTATCATAATTTATGTAACACGTGAAATGAAGTTGTTTTAGTTAGCGAGAATTTGCCACAATATTACTGCGCAGTGTGGATACAGCGTTGAGGTTGAATGTTGCGAGTAGATTTAATTACTACTGTTAGGAGAAGACGAATTTACGATGCGGTTCCCAAAACGAAACATTTTCTAGAAAGTTAATAAAATTATATTGCTGTTTGCTCTCTAACGCCGTCCCGAGAATCTTTCGTTAGGGTTTTACTTAACGACACTTTAACGTTTGGGCAAAGTGTTGATTTCCTTCTGCTAACCTCTTTCAAATGACTTGAGAGTAATTGAAAGGATTTTTATCAAAAAGGTTTTTACTTACTTTCTTTCTGCGGTACAATTGTTGACGTTATATTCGGTGGTTAATGGAACGTTTGAGTTTAATCTCAAACCTAATTTATTTTACTAATAAGAATTTTGTGGAAATAATTTTTTTTGTGTAACTTGTGGAATCTCTGACATTTACATTTACTTGTTGTGTAGATATGACCAGCAAATATTTAACCATGAAATGGGACGTTCAGGAGTTGTTATTTAGTTGTAACATTTGATAGAAGCACACTTTTCAACAGAACTCAAGACTATAAATAAATTAAGGAAATTATGACTTTGGTAATAAAGTTATTAATTTCATTAAATAGTAAATGTGACAGCGTGCAATAAAGCACCTTGCGTTTTATGACTTAAAGCATACTTTTGAATGTTTGATCTTTTTTTTTCGGTGAGTCATAAAAAAAGCCTCAAAACATGATGGCAAGGGAACAATGGAACAATATCATGCACATTACAAAAATTATCATAAAGTATTCAGCTTTCTGTGTCTATCTCTGTCTTGTCTATGAGTAAATATTAATGACGTGTAATAAAACAGTCAATTGTCGTTTGCTTTTTCAATTGTTAATTCTCTTGAATGAAACTGTCAACTATTGAAGAACGCAACAAAATATTTTCTCGATCTCTCTCTCCTTCAAAAACTGATTTAATATGAAAATTTATTAGTTGAATCATGATTTTTGTCATCAAGTCGTCGTATCGTGTCGTAAAATAAAAAGAAAACATGAAATACAAAGCACACAATGTTGAGTTTTATGGTTAACGCGAGCGAGAGCGAATGAATGCCTTTATTATGGAAATGATTGAGTGCTTGTGACAATCGAAGGCAGTTTAATATCCACAAACGAGAGTTATTGCGTGTAAATATCATGGGAAATGATCAAAAATTGTACGGGAGAAATTACGCTGCAGAAATCAAGTTGATAATCAGATAAATGTTCTCAAGCTTTTGTTCTTATTTCTCAAAGAGAATTAAGCGACGTTCATAAGATTAATAAATCTTTCAGAGTCTACATTAAAAAACCTTTTTATCATCATGAGTCTCGATTTTTCTCTTTTTTTTCTTCTTTATTTTTCGGCGATGTTTTATCTCATGAATGTTTTATTTTATTTGAGGTTTTGACATAATTTTTCGACATTGAAGACATGATGAATATTTTACAAGACAATCGAATCATAAAAACAACCAAGCGAGAGAATGAAGGAAGGAAAGCGACGATATTTAAATTATGTTTTAAACATGTGAGGTCGGGCGGCTGGATGGTTGGTCGACCGACTTGATTGCTTTCCGGACATTGACGCTCTTTACTTAGATCATAAAAAATATATTTTGTGCTGCTAATAGAGTCAAGTATCTGTCCAAAAATAGTGACGATGTAAAAGAGTAAAAACACATTAACATTGGAGTCATTTAGGTTGTTAAATTGTTACCTTTGCGATAAAACTGAAATATCATTTAACAACAACCTATAACGAGTGTTGCTATTTCAGTTGTGGATGCTTCACCATAGGTCGACATATTCAATTAAAAGTTAGTCTTCTGCTTTCCTTCCTGTCCTAAATAAATTTTAAAATTCACTTAATGATTAAGTAAATAACTGGGTGTAGTGTGAGGTCGGCATTTAATAATAAGCGGATAATTAAGAGCGTTGAAAAAAGGTTGGAATGTATTCAACTTCTCCGTAGCATAAACATTCTTAAAAATTCATTGAAATGAAAATTTTCTCTTTTTATGGATAATGAATATCAAGGGGAATGTTCACTTTTAATGTCGCAGTTGTTTGACTCAAGAAATTGCATATTAAAACTCATTTCAATTCACAAACTTCTTTATTACTCAACGAGATGTTGACGATGTTGTTTTTGAAAAAGAATAACACGAAACTTTTATTTTTTAAAGTTCAAACCTTTAAATTTTTCATTTCTGTTATCTGAGTAATTACCACATTTCATCCTAATTCATGAATATTCATGAGACTTTTGCTGACTGCCAAAATTGACAAATGAAGCTCAAAAAATGGTGTAAAATGGCAATAAAACATCTCGCATGAACGCGAGAAAGAAATATAAAATTTTATTTCTTCTTTCTTTCTTTCATACCTACTTCGTCAAGTATTTTTATAAATTTTTTAAAAAAATATGAAAGCGTTTTACATCGAAAAGTATTGAGCATGTAAGCACCAAAAGACGAAGTAACATAAAACAAATATGCTCCATGTCGAAAGCGGACTTTGCTTATGGTGAGTTGGCAAATGGGAAGAAAACAGCAGAGAGAAGTTCATTAAAATTTTATCGCAAATTTCTTTTATCAATATCGAAGTTGAATTTCAATTGCCAAGTTAGCGCTTTACCGCCTCTCTCTTGCTATACGAATGAAGTGGGGAAAAATGAGTTCGCCAAAAAAAATATAATATAAGGTAGTTGGATAAATTGCTTCCATTGATCACTTAAATTTATCTTTCTTCTGCGCCACATCACACTTTGATGTACAAATACGAAAAGATACGAAAGGTAGAAAATTGATTGATGAAATTAATGATTTTAACCATAAAGTCAAATGTTTGCTAATGAAATTGCTTTTCCTGTTTCTGTTAAAGTCTTTTATGCGACACTGATATGAAATTTTCTTTCATTTCCTTCAATTAAATGAAAATAGAAAAATTTCACGCAAATTAGCTTCTTCGCTGCATAGCAATGTGGCACTTATCGCTGGGTAATTTGTTTTTCGCCTCTTTAATGTTCAAGTAGATGAATGAAATGGTGTTTAATTAATATAAATGCTCTACGTGTTAATTCACGACCACGGCGACGACGATGATGATGGTGGGAAGAAATTTAACAAATATAATTAATAATTACAAGAAAACCTTGCTTTAAATCCAATTAAATGAGATTAATTTTTTGTCAAAAGATTTACAGCAAAAAATTATTCGAATCAAACTGGGAAAAGGCAGAGAAATGAAAACAATTTTCTTACTCGCACAATCGCACATAAACTTTACCTTGACATCCTGAAAAAGAGAAAGTTAAAAGTTTATTTGAATACTTTTCTTCTCAAATGCTCAAAAAGAACAAACAAACTCAATATGAAAGGATAAAGTGGCAAAAAATATTCAAATTTCAAAAGCTTTAAGTTCAAATTGAAAAATCAATTTTAAATTCTACCTCTCAAATTTACTCCGTTTTACAAGCAAACACTTATGACTCACGAATGTTATGAATCTGGGAAAAGAAAAATTTCTCTTCAAGTCAAGTGGAATATCTTTTTCATGTTGCTTATAATTTAAGTTGTTTGTTAGACTAACAAATATGTTTTCCTTCTGTCATTGAATCCTAGAAAAACAAGTAAAGTTTGTTGAATCACATTCCGTTACCTAATGACGCATTAAATGCTTTCCTTGCGCAAATAAATAATCAATTTATGTTTATGATTTATGTCTTTGCCAAATAGAAATCCTTGGCTTCTCTTTTTCATATTTATATTAGAGGAGAAAAAGTTGTTTCATCGTTCTTTTATCCACAAATAAAATCCATAAAAAGATGTCTGTGATGCTATTGATATTTATCAGATAAAAAAGAAATGAAAGAAAGGAAAACTAGAGAAAGGAGCAGACAGAAGCTTGTGAGAGTGACATGAAAATGCTATATCGTTGCTATGAGATATTCCTCATGGGAGAATGACATAAAAAACGAATGAATATAAATATTGCATAATATTTGCCTGATCAGAAAACTATAAGAATGGAAACAGCACATTCTAGGCGAGGATGTGTTCTTATCTCTTCCATTCGATCAGCAGAACGAACATTCATTGAAGTAAATAGACTTTCGTTGAAAAACAAGAAAATCTGTTTTATGACAGCCAATTCCGATAACAATTCCGTTCGACACTCAGCATTGTACGTCTTCTACTCGCATCGTAACGTAAGCCTTCATAACCAACTTCTTCTTAAATCAGTCTTCAAACGGAAGAAGAACATTCACATGGCATTCATGGAAGGATGATTCTCAATCGTTTGCTTCTTTCTCGCGCCTTTCTCATACCTCGCAGCTGACTACCGGGCTTTAGCGCATTTCACGTTCCCTTTGTTTCTCTTTTTAAAAAACCATCGTGAGCAATTTTCTTCTCTTCGACTTTATATATGTTTTTTATGCTGTCTGAGCTATGTTAATGCTTGATATTAACAATCGTGTAATTTATATTCTTTTAAAACACTCAAAAAAAAGAAGGAAACACAAAAAAAGGGGGAACAGAAAGGAATGAAATAAAAAAAAAGAAAAATTCAATTTAAAGAAGGCATGAGAGTGTTTGCTTCATGAGAACCGACAACAAAAATTCGGGTTTCGTTTGTTTGATATAAGCGGAGGAGCAAAGATGAACAACACTTCCATGTGAAGCGTTTATTGTGTTCTCCGCTCTATAAATATTTTATTTGTTCCACACACTTTGCTGTCCAATATGTTCCTGTGAGCTTGTTGTTATGTTAGTTTAGTTTTCTTTTCGGTGTCTCTTGTGTCATGTCTTTTCTCCCTTTACATATACGCCTACTTGAAACCGTGAAAAAGTGCTTAATAAATAATTCGAATTAATCTTTCTTTTCTTCTTCTTTCTGAGACCTTTTCTTTCCTTCTCTCTCTAGCTTGTTTTCTAAATAAATTCATGTGTCGAACTATTTGTGTGGTGAGATGCCCGCATTATAATTCATTAAATATTCTTGAATCTCCTTTTTTTCTTCTAAACGACGACATCATGGAAAGCATTGCGACGACAAAAGAAATGTGGTTAATAATTATCTAATTGAGAAGCCCCACATGTTTAGATTATCAAGCAAATAAACACCGAAACCAATAGAGAAAGCTCAGATACATTAATCGAATGATCAGTTCTAAAGAATCTTTCAAGTATCGACCAAAACAAAACAAAAATCCTCTTTTTGATTCCTCCGACGCTATGTTTGTTGCGTGAATCGTCTGCTTCTCTTATTTGTTATCTTAATTTGATGATTACTCCATCCTTCTTTATCTCATTATATTTATTTCTCTTTGTTGTTAATGTTGTTGTTGTTGGTGTTATGTTGTTGTGTAGCCAATTATTTGCCTTGCTTTATGCTTGAAATTAATATGTAAAAAGCAGCAAATTTGAAAGACGAGTGCGAGAATGAAATAAAAAATTGCTGGGGGTTGGGAGATGAATTTCTCATTTGTCTAATAATATGGAATTAACACAGTGGAGGCTTCGCAATGTTCCAACAACAGCAAATATCATGTTAACATATGGAACGAAAATAAGATTAATTCGAAACACACAAGGCGTTCATATCAGAAGGCAATGAATGAAAGATTTTCTGTTCAAGATATCAAAATGAATTTATATCGAAGTCGTAATCGAAAGTAATCAAAAGCGGTTGTGATAATCTTTGATGATGGCTTATAATGTTATGTGAACTAATTATGATTATTTAAAAAGAAATTTTCTCATACATCACAGTAAGCTTGTCGATGTTAAGTCGACTCGTGTTGTTCAGATTGTGAAAGCAAAACGAGATAAAAAGAAAAGAAGAAAGGCTTGGACAGCCCAGCGAGAAACGAAGTATAAATGAAGATAAATGACCTTTTGCTTTGGCCGCTGTTGTTCATGAATTATGCGAGAAGATTAATTTTTATGATAATTTTTATGCTCTACAATCTATCGATTCTCTAAATGAAGCGCTAGGCTTGAAATATAATCGCCCTCGGACCACCGAAAATTCTTTTTCTTCAATCTGCGGAAATCAATCAATCATCTTCCTTCTTTGGCACTCGATCAGAAGACAAAGAAAAAAATAATTTCTTAATTAAGATAAAGAAAAATAAACTTTTTATATTTCTCTAAAGTTTAAGTGTACATAAAGAGAGAAAAGTTAATTTTAATGTATCAATAAATCTGGTTGAAATAGGTTATTCGGAATAAAAATATGAAGGCAATTTTAAGAAAAATTATTGCGCTGGCAAATTAAACTGCAATTCGTCGTCTTCTTTTCTCTCTTGTGCAACTTTTTATTTTATTACAAATTGCAAACATTTTTCAACTTTCTTTTTTTCCTTAAGTCACAAATCTTACAATATTTTTTTTGTTGACGGTTTTTGTTGCTGCTTTGTCAGTTTAAATGTGAATTTATCAGAGAAAAATTATGTAAAATCTTTTTTTGTGCTGCTTCTTCTTCTTTTATAGCGGAAAAGCCGATAAAATTCCGTTTCGGTCTTCCGTATCTCTCGCCTCCACTTCTTCCCTGCGATTACAGCAATTGGAAATATTAAAATCATCAAATTACGGAAGAGAAGTTTGATGTTCCCTTTTCAATTATGAATTTCAATGGAAGTTGATGAATGAATCTGGTGTCGATTTTCATGAGGTTGATTTATCTCAGAAAAGTGACCCAATTATCACGAGGCCATAATCGAAATGACTGTTGAAGTAATAAATATCAAATGAATATTGACTTTTCCTCGATTTTCTCAATCGATTGCAGATCTTAGATAACCTCGTATCATTCGACTGTAAGCTACACATAAAGCAAGAGCTAAGTAGGAAATCTTAGAAATCGTTACCAATTAACTTCTACAAGTTAAGCAGAAAACATATTTCAACCATAATAACATCTGACGGCAGTAAAAAGCATAAAAAAGCACTTTGGGTTGGAGGAAAAATTTAATTCATTCGCTCGTTTCTGGCTCAGCAAGAGCTGCTTTGTGATCAACATAAAGCATAAATTTATCATAAAAAAACTAGAGATGGAAAATGAAACGTCGTCAACAAACATAAGACATTACAAAGCATGCAAGATATCTCTTTATGTTGTTCAATTTTCGCTCTCGACTTGTGTGTTTATTATTCAATGCAACAATTCCACTTTAAGACAAAATATTTTATTTATTTTTCTTTTTGCATTTTTCAGATTAACTTCAAATAAGAGAAAGATTGAGAAGAAACAAAAACTTTTCTTTTATTGCTTTTTTGTTGTATCAAGGAAAACGAGAAGAATCAGTGCACTCAAAGTCAAATGATTATGATAAAATAAAATGAAGTGAATTTAATCATTTTCCTTAAATACAATGAGTCGTTCCGAACATGTTTTCATAAAGGCTACAAAATATTTCAACTTCTTGCACCGTGTGCTGTTTACCAACGCTATTATATGTACTTTTTTATATATAAATTAAATTAAATTAAAAGTTAAAAGGAACGAAGATAAAAAGCCACAATCGCACTTTAAAATCCGTTGAGAAGCAGAAGTTAAAAGAAGGCAACAAGAAATCAAAACAGAAGAAACAAAACAACGATTGGAATTTTTATTTCAATTTGAGAAATAATTTAACTTTAATGATTTATTATTTCATTTATTCAACATTATATTCTTCACGAAGAAATTTTTCATGTGAAATAAATCAAAGGAACGCAATGAAGGAATGTTTTCCTTCTCTCATTCACATAGAAACGATTTGAGTCGAATCGTGGCGAACAACATAAGTTTTTACGCAAACAAGAAGAGTTTAAGTCATTTTCTTTGACTCTTTATTTTTTTATTCATCGATGAATTGCATTGTTGGAGTTATTTTTGTTGTTGCTGTTGAAATTCTTCGTCAAAGAATGTTATAAAAAGAATCAAAATACAAAACTTTATATTTGTTGTGTTATGAAAAGTTGAATTATCAGCAAAATTGTTACATAAGAAAAAAATGAAAATTAATAATTGCAAGTTGTGTGAAATTTACGATAATCAAAAGCATTCAGGCGACAAAGGTGCACAGTCACAATATTGTCGTCACACATCAGCAGCAGCTGCCGCTTTTCTTTCGCCGAACCATATTCGTGATTTCTTAGCCTTTCATCTACTCAGAGGTAATTATTATAAGTTATTACAGTTCTTCTTGATATTTAATAATTGTGGTTAATTATTAACCTCTTCTACCTTTTCGGCATTTGCCTCTTGTAATTGTAGTTCTTGATTTAATTTACACTACCTTGTAAGTCGCGCGGTAAATCAAGATGATCATTGACCTGATCCACGAAAAATAATCAACTCAACCACCATAAGTATCATTAAAGATCTTTCTTTTCGTTGTTGTTATTTAATTTCAAGTAAAGGAAGAGTAACTTCCTCTTTATAGTATGAAGTGTACATGAATGTCTATCGTTTTCCCTTCTTACACAATTTTCTGCACACACTCAAGAGTGTCAAGATCTACGAAAAAAAAATAAAGAAATTCCCTCTTTGTAATAAAAAGTCATGAGAGTGAAGATTCCATTACATAAGCCTACAAAAAATCGAATAGAAATATCTAAGATTGAAGGCATAAATTGAATAATTTCATCTTGAAACACATTGTTACGTCGCATTAAAAGATTCTTACTCATTTAGAAAAAGAGAAAAAGAAAATTTTTCTTTCTTTAATAGTTTCAGAAATCAAGCGGAGAGAAACGAAGCAAATCAGAAGTAAAACGAAAGGAAAAGAATTTCATGAAGTTGAATGAAATATTTGAAGTCGTGAGGGCTCGCTTATTGTAAAAATGTTTATTTAACTTCATTCTCTGTTCTGTTAAATCGCTTCGTTGGCTTTGAAAACAATTAACAAAAAATAAGAAACGATGAAGAGAGATACAAATTCTAAGTGTTGTAGGAAGAATTGTAATATCAAAAATGTGAGTGTTCTTAGCTATCTAAGAATTAACATAAACGAAGGAAGAATTGCTGGAATATTAAAATATCCGTAAGACCAACAGACGGCTTTCCGGGTTCTGGTGATGTCTCTGGAAATATTTTTCAACTTCATTGTTATGAGTTTTCCATTAAAAAATAATAAATCAAATTATTTTTTTTTCTCTTCTGTTCTTTTCCTCCAAAACTTTTCTACATCATCCAGAACGAGCGCCTAATGACACTAAAATAATTGTGTATAATTTTTCGGTCTTTTAAACATTGTGAACTTTCAACCAAGTTCTCGACAATATTTCTGGCTAAGTACGAGAAAATCTCTGTCATATGTTATACAAATTATCGTCTGGATAGAAACAAGCATTGAATCGAATCTTTCATTGTACTCGTTCGTTTACCTTCAAATGTCATTCGTTCTATGAAAATGGTTAAATACGTAAGCTTTTGATTTTGCAAATATAAAATTTTTATAACACGAGCTGACCAAGATTTAAATCGCATTTATATATTAAAATAATCTTGTAGATTGAACGATAAATCTGCCAATGATATCCTTCAACAAAGAAACTTTAAATAAGAAGAGAGATGCGGTAATTTTTATTTGACCTTTGCGCGTGAATGGTTTCATCAGTATTCGCTACACGAAGCACAAATATTGAGAAAGCAATTTGCGTCGACACCTAAGATAGACAGGCAGTAAACGAGTAAGAAGGAAGGCAGATATATAAAAAAAAAATACAAAGAACTTGATGAAAATTAACATATCAGCTTTTTGATTGTTTTGTGTTCACACGGAATAATATTTGAGTAGAAAATTAATGTCCAAAACGACGATGAAGATAAACGCATATCAATTTCCTTTGATCAATTCATAAAAGTCTTTCATATGAATAATTTAATATGAAGCTATTACAACATAAGTATCCACTATCCGAAAGTTAGTTCGATTTCATCGAATGATAAACTCGCCACTGACAGTATATTTGATTTCTTTATGCTAATATTTGAGCGCGATGACGGCGAATTAAAAAGCTGCACTCGCTTCAAAGCGCTAGCGTTACATGTTCGTGGAAACTTGAAAAGGAACATAAGACATTGCATTACGACTGCATTATAGAGTTGATGTTCAAGGAATTATTAAGTATTCCCATATCTTAATCTATAAGTCGTTTCTTATTTCTTTTATATGTTTCGTTCTCATCGGCTGAGTCTTTTTCAATATTCAAATTGAAGTTGTTGGTGAAGTTAATTACTATCATCAACAGCGACTGTTTATGAATACAAACTGCTTTCTTGTCCATCGAAAGCACTTTTATTCGAGCGTAATCTTGAAATTTAGCGACAAGGAAGTGTGGAGAAAATGAACATTTTATGGAAATGAAGTAGAAGATCTCACAAAAGAAAGACGGAAGGAATATGCTGCGCTTCTTTCGTAGTCGCCTTAAGATAATTAATTTTCATTTTCATGCCTTAATGACCCATTTGTCGGCCTCTTTCTTTCGACCTCAGTCACTCTACAGTTAACTGAATTATTTTCTAATTTGCGAAATATTTTTGTCTTCTCATCTTTAAGCTGATGACACCATTTTCATGCGTCTCCTCTGTGAATTTCTTTTAACTTTTTTATGTAAATTTTCACTTGAAACATTTTTTAGTGGCGGGTGAAAGTCGGTGACGACGGATTATGTCTTTTTAGAGTTAAAAACAACATCTCACTATACGTGATGGAAAGAATTTTCTTTCTTTTTTCGTTTATAAGCATCTTTACTAACACATCACGGGACAATCACTTTTCATACTTAATAGCGTGTTATTAATTTGGGTTTAGCTGCATCACCAGACACCAAACAACATCTCGTCTTTGTACAAAGTTTTTCACTTCATGCTGTCAGGATTTTCAGCTTTTACATTGTTTGTAGAGATGAGATGAAAGAATTATGAAAAATTCAACAATATCCATGTGAAGAAAATTCTTGAAATTGTCACTTGGTGTTTTTATGTTTTCTTTATATTCACGTACAGCTGTTACTAAGTCAAGTTCCTCGAGATTGAAACTCAAAGTGAATTTTCATGTTTTCGTTTTCGATTAATGTAGTAAAAGAGAAATAAATTTTTATTTTTAATGCAATTAAAAGTTTTTGATCATTATCGAATATAATGGGCGTTTAAAAAGTTATGCAAATATTTGTAAATAAAATTAAATTCGTTAATAAAACATAAAAGTTCATGCTGTGTTTAAAGACAAGTCAGATGAAAAAAATTTGTTTTGTCAACATTTTTTAAAGTTCAACCGAAAATTGGATGAGTGCATGTTCATTCGCTTGTGATTGCGTTAAGAGGAAACGCAAAACACGAAGCGCAAATCGCATAACGATATCGTTAAAGCACAGTATGAAACAAGCATTTAGCAGCATTGATCGTCCATAGAAAGGTTATTAAATAATTGTTACATAATGAATGACGCGTTTGGCATTTTGTTACTTTTAAACATGCATTTATGTCCATGTCTATCCATCTTGGATGTAGCTGGTCAAAGCGAATGTCTTTTTACTTACATAATAATCTACTTAAGTAAGTTTTCTTAGTAAATATTTGCTAAACTGCTTTTAACTATGAATTTTAATTTATGTTGTGATTATTAGCAATTATAGCGAGGTGTGTAGATACTTAAATAATTTTCATGAAACATAAAATTGACAAACCTTCTTTGTAAATCTCGACAGTTTCGTGAACAAAAAACTTAATTCATTTGATATTTTTTTCGTTTAAACTTTTGATGGTTTTGAAAACGCATGACATACAACCTTGGTACAATTACATGTTTTGAACAGCTTTTGCCCACTTTTTCACATTCATGTCATCCAATCAAAAAATACATCATTGCCCAATCTTGTTCTGCCTATAAGTCTTTCTTCTCTCTCGCTTTTTATGTTCTCTCTCGATGAAATTCAATGCTTATGATTGAAAAGTTAATGCTCGATGTTTTATTTAAATATTCATTTGGGTGAGTTGAGTTGATTTTTTTTATTACAACCGCGAGAATCGGAAGAGAGGAGAAAGACTCAACAAAAAGCGATTAAAAATAAATTGAGTAATTTACGAAGCATGAATTTGGAATGGATTGGAATGAAAAATAATAATTGGGCCATGAAGTTCGTAATTGAAGCAAAACGAAATGAGTTGACAGTGAATATGTTTAATGTAGTGACTGTGAAAAGATAAAAGCAATAATTGGCTGCGATATTTTCTCAATAAGCGACAAATTATCAACACACAATATCGTTAGAAGTGAAGAATATAATTGAAAAAAACCATAAAGTTGATGTTATACGACGTTCAAATGAAGTATGAATTGATCTATTCTTGTGATGCGCAAACTGCAACTAAATACAAGCAATAAATCTTCGATTCATCACGCACACCTCAAGCTATTGATTCAACTACCTTAATAGCCGATGTAAAAAAATCTTGTGCATCGTTCTTCTAGTGGAAGGAAGAACATGAGAAGCAAGTTTCTATATAAGCCTCGCACAGATTAATTGATTATAAATAATAAACATTTGAGCGAAATACCACTTAAATTGGCAAGTAGTTTTTCCAACCGTAAGAATGAAAATAAGCAAGTAAAGTGAATTCTTTTTGTTTTGCTTCGTTCTCCGCATTTCAAGACAGGTATCGTGAAAAGAAAACCAATTGCATTCAGACGCAACAGAAGTTAAAAAAAACGTATCGAGCGATGCATGCTTTGGATAAAATCCATTTTGTCGAGATCCATTAGTATTCAATTGAGTTGAAAAGCATCGCGAGTCTCAAACTGGGAGAGAAATATGTTGATTTAACCATATGCATTTATACCTCCCTTTAGCATCACTTTAAATTGCCACCATAATGTAATTCTACATTTTGTTTGCACATGAACTCCATTCCTACCCATCCGCTGCCAAACGAGAACAACAGATTGCGGAGAACAATTCAGAGAAAAATTTATTAATCTGAAAATATGTTTTTATGGCGTTGTGCTTATTAAGTATTCACAAAAAAATGAGAGAGACAAGGAAATTCATTACATATTATTGGAATTTAATTAAGTGTGGTTTCATGTATGGTGTGAGAAATACGGCGAGTGAAAATGCATTACATTGATCCCAATTATTTATTTTCACCTACATAAATATTCAAGTTTCATCTAATTTCCAAATGATTCCGATGGGAAACTCTTCTTCTTTGGTTTACCATAAATAATATTGAAAGCTTTACAAGAATATAAATCTAAGCGCCCTGAAGGGCTTTCACATTGTGTAGTAAACATTTCGAATCACATTCCATTCAGTAGCTCAATCGATGGCAGTTATTTATGCTTCTTCGGAAGTAGAAAATCGGCTTCGCACAAATTTTTCTCTCATTGTTATCAAAATTTATGTTTCCTTTCGTTTAACATAACGCAATATTGTTGTTTGATAACGATGCCAAGTAAGATCCCTAAAATCACTCAATTTCCATAAAGTAATCGCCTGCAATGTGAAAAACTTTTATGATTCTTTTTGTTGTTTCCAAAAGCGCTGTTATCGAGTCAGCCTTCTTCGCACGTTGTGAAGATTCCATATGTCGTTTTGTGTGTGTAGAAGTGCGATAGAAATAATCGTAAAGTATTATCATATATAATAAATCATTAGATATTATTTTCTGTATGTTGTATAAGAATAATAAAGTTCGTGGGTACCCATCAAAGCCCTAATGCGGGCATATTAAGACCCGAGATTTCATTTGTTTTCGTTTTCTTCCCTTTTGCCTGATATCATAACCAACTAACAATAATAAAATATCTTGATGATTCAGATGGAATTGAATTTCATCGCCTCTTGAAAATAAAGAAAAATAAAATATGTGAACGAGGGGGAAAAGAATTATTTTCATTTTATTGTTTATAGGATGAATGAAAATATCATAAATACCTTCATTTAAGTGGCACTTGAGGCGATTAAAACTCCTTTTTTCTCTAAAGTTATTATCGCATTTATTGAAAGTAAAATCAAGCTTTCAAACTTTGAAATTCTTTCTTCTATTATATCAATCAAAAGGAAAACTTTTTCCTCTCGACATCATTCTGATTTCATAGTTTCCCTTCATTGTGCATTTAAAACGTTGTAGAATGTGAAAGAAAAACGTGTTGAATTTTTCATGCAATTTGCTAGAAAATTGGAAAAGTTTTCATCCTTTCTTGCACAACCATTCTTAACATTGAACAATGTTGAAGAAAGTTTTTCTCCTTTAAAAAGTAACAAAGTTAGTGCTAATAAAATATCGTTTCAGCTCTAGACTTTAATCATATTGAAGACTAACAGATGAACATAAATTCGGGTAATAAGTTTCACGATGAAACAACGAGTTGTTGGATTAGGTTACAGTATCGCGTTTTGTCAACCAACAGTCTCCCCGCTGTGCACCCTCTCAAGATGAAGTCAAAAAAAAGAAGCGAAGGAAACGAATGAATGAGAGATAAAATGTTTTCATAATCTTTATTCGAATGGCTTTGTGAAAATCCTCCAATTAGCACATCTCAGTGAACTGTAAGAAAGTGAGATTTCTGTGAGACGATAAGATTATAATCATTTGCATTCTAATGACTCTTGTAGCGTTTTAGCGTTCCACACATCCATTCGACATTCCCCCCGGTGTGAGAGCAAGTCAAGGATCTCTACATTTAGAAAAATTTCCATAAAACATGTAAAATTCTTTTTTGTTTCATCCTTGAACGGACTTTTCAGTAATTGTTATTTCCATTTTTACAAACTTTTCCAATGAATGAGTTCATTTAAACAACTCAACAGTTTCATGAAAATAAATCTTGTTCATTGCAAGTTGTAGATCAGACCGAAAGTATTTATTTATGAGAAAAGTTTTTCATTGCACACTTGAGAATGGTTGAAACTTGCTACATGAGTATTTAATACTTCAAGTGACTTATATATGCAAAAACACGTCAAAGTCCCTTGAATAGAAATGCATAAATGACGATGCCCATTACTTGGTGTTATGATCACGCTTTAATAAATTCAACAAGTTATTCTCATTACCTAAACATTTATTTTACCGCTGTTTATTACTTTTCTTGCCTTTTCTCCTTCTGTAGTGAGTTAAACTGTTGACATGGAAACATTTTGCGTAAAATTCGACCGTCAATAAAAGTTTCGGGCGAAAAGAATCTTATCCGAAAGATAAAAGAAAAAATCTTGTGTAAATATTATAATATTTTGTGAGCCCTCAACAATATGATGATGAGATGATGGTTAAGCTTGGGGAGAGTGAAAAATTATGACTGTGGTATAATAAACATCCACTATAATAGGATAAGCAGAAGAAGCAATGTTTTTAATGTCGAGGGGAAAATTATCATAAAAGCTTTAGCTCATGATTACTGTGGCATGTAATCGAGAATATTTTTGGTTAAACTTTGATAACCGTATACTGTTTTGCTGTTTGTTTTGTTTGTTTCGTCGGCATGCAAAACAAATGCCCAACATTCCATTCATTCTAGTTCAGCCTTCTCAGAAATTTACTAATTCTCATTTACGACTAACATGGAGCTAGAAACTATTTAATAATGCAATTCAAAACTCGTAATAACCCAGTGCACTCAATTTTATGTGCACGATGTTAAAACTTTTACTCCACCTAATTGTTGATATTTGTGATAATTATGACATTAAAAATACTCAATCACGTTGCATCAAAGACATAAATTTTATAGAAAGTTTTTTCATTCAAATAAAATCTTTCAATGTTGTTAGAAAATTAAAATTTATTCGAAAGTTTCTTTTAAGAAGAATGAAGTCAATCGAAGAAAATTTTATTATTCCAAGTTCTGCGTCTTGATTGATGAAATTGATTTGCCACAGAGTCGTCTTATCACCTTTCCATCTCTTTAAACATTCCAACATATTATTCAGTGCCGTAAATGATTGAAAATAAACTTCTTATCTTTATTTCATTAATTTTCCGTCACGGATTCTCTTAAGCACATTCCATGTTGTTATCTTATCTTCCAGATTAGATTGACGATTACATTTTGATAAATCAATGTGCACGAGACTTTACTCGATTTGCAGCACGTAGAAATAATTTCATTTTCTCGCCATTCCGAGATATTTTCTTGTTTCTATTTGTGTGTTCTCGACTTGACTGACGCTTCACCGCCTTTAGCTTTATGCAAGTCTCATCTTGTTCATCCTCAACAAAATTGTAGCCGAGAACAAATGAAAATTAATGGGGAGAGAAAAAGCTTATATCGCAGACAATTTGCTGGCAGCAGTTGAAAAAGTAGATTCAAACTTATAAATTAATTAGTAAGCTATCAAATTTCCGGAGCTTGTTGAAACATCTCCCTAAAGATCTTTCTGTTGTCAGACGTCGTTTTATCTCTCATAATCTTAAATTTGTTCCCTTTGCCCTTTTCACAACATTCGTGAATTTACGTTCGGTAGTTCAGCATTCTCGCTCTTCTTCCATCTACAACAAATAAATTTATTTTTTATTTTTTTTATTTCGGTGAAGTTTCATTCAACGAGAAAAAGTGAACAAGATGGAAAAATGGTGACATCGCTTCATTTATTTTAGATTAAGCTTTTGTCATTCTTTTGTGAGCGATTGCAAATTACTTAGAGAATGTTGACGAGATATTTTCTTTTTATCCTTAATGTTATCAACTTATTAACCTTCATCAAATTTTGCGAGTTATTTAAATTTATTTTATCATTGTAGTAATGAGTGAAGTCATAATTTGTATGACAACATGCAAGCTAATGATTCTATCATCACTTGAAAGAATATTAATTTAAACTTACACACTTCATAATCTCTTTTAAAACGCTTCCTTTTCCATCTCCCAAGTGCCATGATTAAGCTTTTTTTTCCTCTCAAAGTATCGCATTAATGCGTTGCTTTTAATAAAGTGAAACATATTAGCATGACTACATTAAGACTGCAAATTATGTGTTTAAGGTTTAAATAAATATCAACATAAAAATGATGCAAAAGAGAAGACAAGAGATGGCTTTAAATCCAGTAGCAGTTGATGTGCCTTAACGAACAAAAAGTCATTTACTTCCCAACAACATTTACGTACTGCCAGAGTTTCTTTCTTCTTCCCTCATCTTAAACTTTATATTTCAGCTTTTCCCTCTTGTGTTGAAATAAAAGAAAGAATTTAAAAAAAAAACACGAGAAGAAGAAACAGTTTTGTTCAGTTGAATTGCGAATAAAAAAAATGTATTTAAAGTGAACAAAAAGGAATGATTTAAATAAAATGAAACAAGATGTTGTTGGTTGATGAGCTGGAGCATTCAACACGAGAGTAGCTAAACAAATTAAGCAATAATATTCCATTCCTTCTTTTATTAATTGCTTTCGATTTGTTTTGATGGCAATGCTAATGCTCTCATAGCAACTTCGCCAACATTTTTTTTCCTTTTGTCCATTCTCGGATATTATGGAAATGTTTTTATTTTCTTGCAATTCAATCCAATTCAATTAATTAACTGATCATTGAGACGTGTTTACAAAGGAGAGTGAGAGAAATGTTTCTTTTTTCAATACAAGTTTTGGTGAAGATAAATCGGTAAGGAAATTAAATTACTGATGAGACAGAGTTTGAAACTTTTAATGCTTGCGGCATAAGAATTTCTGACTTCTCATGTTTAATCGGTTTAGCGTTAAATTCAATTGAATCTCAAACAACCCTTTACACGCCTCATAAAGCTACAGAGAAAGAAAACCGCAATTAACGCCTGTATCATCAAAAATTCATGAAAACGTAACAAATTTCGCCTTTGATGTTCTTCGTTATGAACCGGCACGAAAACAAGAAAAAAAATAATAGAAATAAAATCCTCGAGAAGTTAAACTCGACGAAGCATCTTGAAGCGTTTGTTTGAAGGACATTCTATGAAATGAAAAGTAATTCATTGAACTTCTACAGCTTGTTCTTTTTTCTATTATATGTTTATGCTTCGACTTCTTTTTCTATCCACTTCTTCTTTGCTTGTGAAACTACTTAAACGTCTTTTATTCTTCTCGCTCGTCGTGTAACAAACTCACGAAAAGAAATATTGTAGAAATAATTCAAGAAACTTCTTAGATTGTTGCCGTTTATCTTCTTACAACTCTTTCTCGAGTCTTCGTTGGCTGTTCGTTTAAGCTACAAATTAACAGAACAAAAAAAATTATTTTGTGGCTACAACCAGGTGGCAAGAAGTTTATTAAAACCAATTGAAGATGAAATTATTTCATTTAACTTCTACTTTCAAGCATTCTAGACTTTGCTGGGCATTAACTGCTGTTCATTTACCTAAAAATATTATTCAATTTGTGTTTTTTCTTCTATTTTTTCTGCTTACTTTAGATGCTTCGTCGTTGTAATTAGATATACAAACCATGCTGAAATAAAATTATTCTGCTGGTGTCATTGACTTTAGTTTAGTGCAAAAAAAGAAACAAAAAATTACGAGCCGAAAGAAATCGCCAGGCATGAGAAGCGCTATTATGTAATGCTATCTGATTCTCTTTCACCAGAAACCATGGCGGTACAAGAGAAGCTGAAATTACAAAGATTTGAATTTAATTTGATGTCTTGAAATTAAATGAAAATTCTTTTCGAGCTTCTTCTAGTTCGCTTAATTTTGTTTTAGTTTTTGCCTTCGCTCCCCCGTCACTCATTATCATTGTTCTCCTTCCACCGGAATTGATTTTTTTAATGCTCTCATTAAAGAATATAGAACAAAAAAAAAGTTTATAAGAAATAAACTCATTCTTAATGAGATTTTTGATGGTTGAGGTTTGAGACAAAAAGTGTGTGTTTCCACTAGCAACATTACTCGTACTTATTATTGTTAAATAAAGCATATAAAAAGCGGACAAACCCTTCTGTAAACATTTCATCTTATTTCATGACACCGGAATTTGTTGTTAGATCAAAATTTAACTCGAAACATATGGTAAAGATAGACCAGCTTTGAAAGCATGAAAACAGATTTTTGATGGATTATGTTCCGTTTGGGGAGTCGTGAGATGAAAGCAACTGTACTTGCTGACTTAGAATGTGTAATTCTTGATAGCTACATCCTCTTGCTCTCATGCTTCACATCTCTTTTCCTCATTTTTTTTTGTTCTCCCGCGGCGATGTTGAGCAAAACAGATTTTTTCGATCTTTTATTTTATTTTTTATTTATTTATTTTTTTTTGTTGTCAACCTCGGTCGGGTTTTTTCATTCCGCTTCGAGCTTTACTGTCATCATAAATAAATTCATCTTGACACCTTCTGTTAAAGTACTTGCTTGTTTGCTTGCTGTTATGCGCCACGGCAAATTTAAAATGCATTTGAGTGATTAAGCAATTAAGGGCAGGGTATAAATCTTGTTTTAATTAATTCTATTCATTAACACTTTTTTCTATTATTCTTGTTCGTCGTGATGTCAAGACTAAGAGCATCAAGTTAACAAACACTTTTTGTAACGGAGAACTAAATTTATTTGCAACTTTTATAATTGTCATGAAAATATTTGTGAATGAATATTCTTTAACATTATCGCTTGAAGTTTCATGACATTTTGAGACAACAAAGTAAATATTTATTAATACATACATATATTGAAAGACGTGAAGTTTATTCAATTGTTTTATGCCAACATTCGATGGAATGAGAAGAGTTGAAATTTCATCATGTAATGATAATAAAACTGACATTAAACTCAATTCAGTTGCTGCATAGTCCACAATCCAATTACATTTAATTGATGATTCAAAAAAATAAAAGAATCTCTTTTAGATGTTCTCTTCAAAGCCAACCAGAACAAAGAACGTGTATGAGAACTTATAGCTTGTACCTGATCTGACCCATTTGTAGCTCTTCTTGTTACATTTTGTGCTTTGTGCGATGCATGCTAAATGAACATTCAACTCGTTGATGCAGCAGCAATAAAAACCTCACAGAGATTATGCATTATGCTACTCGTTGAGGAATTCTGCTCATAAATTTCACTTGACTATGAGTTTTATGTTTGGCATATTTGCATGTCGAAGCAATTTTCCTTCACTGTCATTGAGTTGGAAAGGAAATTTTGGTTTCTATTAAACTTCTGAAAGGTAAACGATAAGAATTAGTTGAAGTTGAGAGAAAAGTGGAGCAGTAAATGTTTCAAAAGCTTTGAAATAGAAAATAATCGATAAATATTTATTAAGATAAGAAATTTAACAAGCAAAAAAGTCACCTTGAAGTCTCGTTTAACTTATCATTGCTTTTATGTATTGCAGTAACAAAGAATCATAAAAAAATGATATGGCAGTGTTGAAAGAATTAATTTCCAAACAACCAACACATTAAGCTAGTGATTATTTCAAAAATTTAAACAATTTTAAATAAATCCCAAGAACAAACACTAAATAAAAGTTTACAAAAAGCTTTGGTTTTGTTAGATGTTTTATTTCGAAAGAACAAAGAGAGAACAAAATGAACTCGATAAGCACAACACACGAGAGTTTTGTTTAAAGTATAAATGGGGGAGGTGTTAAAGGGTGAAAGCTTTAGAACTAATTATGCTGTGAATTTCATATCTAAAGGGGAAAAGTCCATTTCATTGCTTCATTGCTGTTGTAAATGGAATAAAATGATTACGAAAGAGTTCATGGAGTTTCAAACCATGTACATAAATACTGTTGAACAGACGAAGAAAATTTTAATGGGCTTTATACTTATCTAAGCTTATGTAAGATTGAATTTATTAAATTATAAGAAATTACTTTGCTAAATTGATTTCTGTCACGAGATATCGTCACTCGACATGTTCATATGAGAGCATTTCATCAATAATCGTGTTGGCAACTTTAAAATTCCGTCAAGCAACTTAAATATATGAATTGTAGATTGCAATCATGAAGTTAATTCACATAGCATGGCATGCCAACAACACTTTTCACCTTCATCTGCACTCACATCTTATTCGACATCTTTCTCGTGCTATCGGTGACTACAACCAGAAAAGCTACAAAGCAACCACAAAAAATTGTTCATAAAAAAGTAAATTTGGAAGGCGAAGAGGAAAGAAAACGAAATATAAACGTTACAATATCTCTTTCCGTATTATATCACACAAAAATAACTTTCGCATTTTTCTTTCAGTTTACTTCTGGAAATGTTTTCTCATTTCTGGTCTTTATAAGAATAGGAAAAATTGTTAGCAAGATGGGAAGAGAAATCTGCTTCATTCCACCAATTCACAAGCAAATAGATATAGTCTAGTTATAGTCAAGACAACTAACTAAATTGTTCCATTTCGTTTCCACTCTGTGGTTGTTGCTTTCTATGGTTAAATTCCAATTTATTTCCTTACAGCTTTATATTTATATCTTTTTATATCTCTCTAACATTTCGTTTGAACTGTTGAATGCGTGATTGTTTGTCTGAAAATATTAAGATGCTCGATTAACCATTGAATGACAAAATCATAAATTTCAATAAATGGCTTGTGAATCGTTCGAGAAATGTGAGATTCTAAAATTTAATTGCGTTGACTGACGAGGGAGTTAAGCATACGACGAAGCGTAATAAACCTTGGCAATTCGACAAAAAAGTCTCAATAATAAAATACTCAACGCTTATTTAAATAAAACTTTATCCGGACGCAAAGTTCGACCTTGCGCTTTGTCAAGAAAATATAAAAAGAAGTTATTTATTTAAATTCATTCATTTGCATTTGATTGAAATTTTATCTGTTTCAATATTGTGAAAAATGTCGTTTGAGATGAAAAGCAAAAAATAATGAACATGAGTAATTAAAGTTGATATTAATTTTATAATGCGAGTCTAATTAGAATGTTTAAATCTTTGACATTTGCATAAATATCATGTCATATTATTACATTTAAATAACTTTGTTTTCATCGTTAGTGACAAATATAATCAATGAACAAACATTGGAAATTTGTTTCCGTCATTTCCTTTAATCAGAGAAAATTCATGGTAGAGAAAATTCTTCATGGCTGGAAAAATATTCTCTCATTTTCCCTTCAAGTGAATTAAACTCTTAATTTCGTTGAATATTCAAATTAAGAGCTAAGAAATCTCATCATTTGCGCACTTTTAAAGCGGCGCCTCTTGAACCATAAAAAAAGATTCTTTAACGAGCTGAAGAAGATAATTTTTTCTCTCTCTTTTATTTTCATCGAGTCACGGGCCCAATTTAAAGTCGATGACGAAAATAGAAGCAATGATTTATGTTTTCACTCATTAAATGTTCTTGTGAAAACGATATCAAAAAAAACTTATGTATAGATTTCCAAAGGCGTTTTATTGAGTCAACATCTAATTAAAAATGATTTTATCTGAGCTATTGCTATGGTTAACTAGTTGCGAACTGACTGGGGTAGCAGAAGTTAATATGATTTTCACCTTCCACCATCCATGACAGATGCCATAATGGGGATCAAGATAAATTTATATATTCACACCTTAGCGATAACCTTAATGTGCTTCATCTAGACAACACTTTACACATCGTTCTGTCAAGTTACTTATGCCAAAGTCATAATAACAAATATCGCAAGTTTTGCATTCTGCTTGAAAGTTTCAAGCTGAGATTTTTGGAAAAATGTTGGATCATGCACCGGAGAAAAGTTTTTCACATAAATTATACAACAAGACCTGCTTCAGTGGCTTTTTACACATTCATGGCGTGGGTGTGTGTGGAGATGAGGAAAAGATTCTGTGAGCAAGTTTAATAAATTCAAACCTCTTTACTACGAAAACTTTTCACATATGCGGGTGATTTCAAGTCGATGGAACGAGTCTCATGTTTCATAATGAGATTTTATCATAACATGGAAGTGGATTGCTTGGAGTTGAAACCATTTCCTTACTAAGATTGAGCTGCTTAAAATGCAGTCGTTTTGCATAAATGAAAAATGTTTTCTTCTCAGATTACTGCACTTGATTAAATTCAAAAAACCATGTTAAAAGACAAATCTAAATTGTAATGAACATTCAAGATTTTGCATAAATAGATATTACGAATAAATCTTAAGTTGTTGAAGATTCTTATTTATGTAGAGTTCCGCTTAAGTCTTACAAGGGTCTTGCAATTTCTCCCTTTCACTGAAAAAAGATGTCATTGTTTAAGCATGATTGAAACATGTCTATGTTACAAGATTGACTGCATAATTTGTTTTCTCTCGCAAAGTTTGTTACCGAAAGAAATTTATTCGTTTAAACCTTGCAGCATTCATTGAAAGAAATAAAAGAAACTTCCAGACAAGGGAGACGATGTTCTTTGAGATCCAGAATTTCTGACATAATTTCATTTTTCATCTCTCGTTTGTTAAACAATTTTGCCTTTTTCAGAGCAGTTGTTCTATTTTTAGATATTTATAGAACTTTATATAAATACATAACACAAATACATGCATAAACTTAAAATATTTTTTTATTTTCATCAACCCCTATTCATTCATTAGTTTTTTTTAAAAACATTCTTCTCTCTCTTTTACGAGAATTGAGTTTTTGAATATAAAATAAAAGTAGAAAACTTCGCATAAAATGAATAGACATAAAAGTTTTTAAGATTTCTTTTGAAAGTCATTCACGATTATACATAACCGGTGGGAAAACATGGGAGAGATAGAAGTTATTGCTAATTTGGTATGTGCTAAATCGCTTCAATTTAATGTTATGAATAAATTATCGCAAAAGAATTGTATAGAAATGGATTAGTTGAGACAGCGAAATTATCATGATTAACACATTATTTTCACATCGAAACTCATCCATGTTAATTGCTACCAGCTAACGGTTGCGACTTTCCCGCATTGGCACATATTGAAGATTGAATTTTAATTAATTTTCAAGCGAAAGCGATACAGAAAATAAACTAAGAAAAGTAATTTAATAAACCCGACATCGACGTTGATTTGAAATAAAATATGTTATTTGTGAAATAAATATTGAGAGAAACTGCTTTACATTTTACTAAGTCGAATTATTTAAAATAATGTCTGGTTAAAAGGGGAAGTTTGATGAATTTCGTATTTTTTTTGCTTCTCTCTGTTTCGATTCTTCCGAAATGAAACCAGAAGCGACAAGTCGCACAGTAAAATTTCAAGTTCATGTTTATAAAGCGTAAAATGAGAAAAAAATTCATTTCTTTTAAAATATTTGAGGGGCACCAACATGAAACCAGAGAAGTGTTTGTCAAAATACCATAGGGGTTGGGATCAAAGGCGAAATCGAATAAAACGCAAGCATGGAGAATTAAATGATCACCGAATAACACGAAAACACTTAATAACTAAACAAAATTTCTTGTCGTTTGATTGAGATTAATGATTTTCTGAATTAATTTCTTTCCATGGTTTTGAGAGTTAATTGTTTGATGAGAATTTTGTGCCCAAAGCGATAAGAATTCTAATTTTATCGCCTTTCCCCTTAGCAATTCTAGTCATTTGAGCCCTCTTCATCATCATCTCTCATCGTTCTGATTTAATTCAATAAACAAACAAGCAAAAGATTTTTTTTTGGAAATTTCAATTTATTCAAATATCGAAAGGAAATTTTTAAACAAACCTCCGCTTTCCTTTCCACCCTCGTTGTGACGATAACTTCTGGTTTCTCACATCTTATAACACCCAAAGACCTTAAGGCATATACATAAACAGAGAATGAAGAATTTAAAGTATTTATGACTTATGTACCTTACTAGATTATCCATCATAAAACGATGATGAAAATATCTTGAAGCACCCACATAAATATTTATATATCAGTCATATTTTACAAAACATTCACTGTACGTGGGAGTGTTTCACAAGAGTGTAAATGATTCAATTATAAGCCAAATTAGTTATTGATTCAACCTTATCATCATGAACTTCACATTAATCAATATTTTTCTTTTCTTCCTTTTCTTTTCAATTCAGGATATTATCAACCCGCTGGTCCATTAATCTCGCCACATTTGTTACCCCCGCAACCAATCCCACAGCCTTTGGAATCTGATCAAACACCGTCATCACAATCATCTGCCTCGACGACTGACAATGTTGATCCGGACGTGATGATTACAGGTAAGAATCATTTGATTAAGCTTTGTAATGTGTGTTGTCATTGATAATCTCATTCGTATTGTTATCCTTCTTCTTCTTTTTTTCTTTTCTAATCGCATTCGAAATTATAAAAATAAAAATAAAAGGTGGAGATTTAGCACCAAGACCTTCATATCGTTATGGTCCACATCCACCCCCACCTGATTATTCTCGACCCATGCATCAAATGCATTATCCACCAACATATCCTCCCAGTCCATATGGCTATTATGGCCAACCTCCCCCTCCACCTCATCAGGAAATCTGCTATTCGCCTTATTATCCGCCAAAATATTATCCACCAAACGCTCCATACGCAAGACGCTTCATGACACCGAATTATTATCAACCACCCCCCCTTGATTATCGACCTCCACCTCAAGCCGTGCCTCAAAATGCCCCATCACAAATCGCTCCAGCAGCACCGACTCCCCAACATATTGACCATTATTCTAGTTCGCCATATTATGCTGGATATAGTCCAAACAACGGTGGTCAGTGTTACAGTCAAACACAGCCACGTACCATGCAACCGCCGTATTTAGGTGAGGAAAAGTATGATTAAAAGAACAGAAAAAGTATATTGAAAAAAAGTATTTGAAATGTTCTTGCTTTTATCTTGCTTTCAATCATTTCAAAGTCTTCATATTATCAAAACATTTCGGTGATTTTCATTTTATTCATTTGTGTTTTTGTCCCTAAGAAATAAAAATAAAGCCACTTCATTATGCTAATTTTGCTTTTATTTTATTCATTAAGATGCAGCTCAATACCACAGCTCAAGTTGTCCCTGTCCGATGCAGTCGTGTCCAAAAAACGCCCATACTGGCACTGGGCCAACTAATAAAGCGAAAGGCCCAGTGTCAGCCAACACGACAATAGCTGAAAGTAATCCAAAGACCATTTCAACGTTTAATATCGCATCATGTAAAATTGAGAACATTACAAGCCCAAACGTTGTGATAAAGCCTGAGAATAATGATAAAATGGAAGCATCACCATCAAACTCACATGAGTTATTCTCACAACATTTGAATTTAAAAATGTTGGAGTCTCCTGAATTGACACCAAGCCCAGCACGAGGCTCAATCGGCTTACAAATTCCCCCAACAGTACAACATGAAGCAGTACAACCTACAGAGCATTCAAGTGATATCAATAGCTTTAGTCAAAGAAAGCATCCACGAGTTGGAAAGTCCATGGAACGTGAACGTCAACACCAACAACACATCACAATGGGTGGCACAATGACCTACCAGACAACATTAGAAAATTCTGATAATGTTGCACTCGAATTGACTCAATTTAAAAAAGAGTTTACTGTGAAGAAAGAAGGCGATGTGAAAAAGGAAAAGGATTGTGACATGATTGACAGAGGATATCGAAGCATAAATCCAATTGATAATGTTAAACTTGAGAGACCTGAAGCGGAACATGATTCACTCTCCACCCAAATGGCGCCAAAACAAACGACAAATAACTTTGTCACCGATACAATCACAGTAAATTTGATTAATGAGAGTGGCGATGAGTGCGTTGACTACTCTATGAAGCGTAAGCTTGATGAGACTAGCAATGACGATGTGATAGAATTAAGTGATAATTCGACAGTTGATCCACCATCATTGACATTGAAGCGACGTAAACTACTTGAAAAGCCAGTGAGTACTCCTAAGAAATCACCACCCAACAGTTACAAGAGTCTGATAAAGCAAGCAAATCCTTCTACAACAACTTATCAATCTTCTACTTCTAAGTCAAAACTTTTAACATCAAACATAAACCGGTTGAGTAACAAATCAAATATCAAACGAAGAACTATTCTCAAATCAAAGAACGTGAGGCTTCTTGCTAAAGCTAAGAAACGTTCGCCAAAGAAAAACGTAACAGAAGACGAAAGCGATAAGGTTGAGTCTGTAAATGGTGATGACAATGCTGAAAATGATTCCGTAATCGATGTTAACAAATTCAATAATGAAGATATATCTGAAACAACTGAAAAGTCAGATGAAATAGCTGAAGAAACATCAACTGAAAATGACAACCATGAAGATAAATCAATGGATGGCAGCAGTGAGTATTCGGGTAAATCAAACATTGATCTTACAATTGATCGTGTTGCCAAAGGATATTTCTCTGAATCAGATATATTCACTTGTCTATCGAAGCAACGAAAGACAAAAAGTCAAAAGAAATTTGATGCAAAACTTATAAAATCGGGTATTAATGACAAGAAGAACGCTAAAAAGGCTAAGACTGACGTGACAGATGTGCCAGTTAAGGATAAAACAAAGAAAAAGTCTAAGGTTAATAAAGAGGCTGATATGCAGCAAGAAGCTGCAGGTGATAACGAGTTGAGAAAAGCGAGGAAACTCAAGAAGCTGAAAGTTAAAGAGATAGATGATGGAGGTAAAAATAAATCAAAAAAGAAGCCTAAAGACGGTGAAAAGGAACCGTTGTCACTCGACGATATTCTGCCATCCCATTCAACACCAAAACGTAAGCAGAAGACCCCAAAAAACGTTGAAAGCAAGAAGGAGAAGAAGGAGAAAGTTGTCGAGAATTTGACTGTATCTGCGCTTATTGAAAGTGACGAAGACGATAAAACCGTTGTGACTGTTGAAACAAGAGATGAAGAAACTTCAACAACGCTTCTCAGTTCAGCTCAAACAATTAATACGACAAAATCTCAACTTGATGAGACAGATGTTGCAAATAATAACAATGAATGCTTTGAAGACAACAACCGACATAAACAACAAGAATCGTTGACACTTTACAAGACCCCGGGTTATGGGTGGACTATGAACAAAACAGGAAAGCGAGGGAAGAAAACAAAATTCAGCAATCGTAAAAAGCATAAATTTACCTTGCTTAATGATATCGTCATTCCAAAAAGTACATCAATTCCACGATGGAGTAATGGATGGGTGTGGGGAGGCGACCCATATCAGGCTCTAGTTTTCCTTAATGTAAGATTTACTTCACATTTATTTTAATGAAAATGGAAAAAATTATTTTATTGATGTACTTTTTTCTATTATTTTAAATTACAGAGCGATGATCCACCAGTGCCACGAACATGCTACGATTCAATGCGTCACGAAGAATGTGGCGATGTTATTCGTCCTCGTGATTGTGTGCTTCTTAGAGCGGGTGGAAAACGAAATGAATTGCCATATGTTGCGAAAGTAGCACAATTGTGGGAAAATCCTGAAGACGGTAAGCTTCAATAAACTTTCTTATCACTGAGTCATGAATTTAATTGCTTCGATTATTAGGAGAGATGATGATGTCACTTTTTTGGTATTATCGCCCTGAACACACCGAACAAGGTCGACAAGAGAATGACGCAAGTGATGAAGTGTTTGCTTCAAGACATAAAGATCACAATAGCGTGGCATGTATTGAAGACAAGTGTCACGTTTTAACTTACAATGAATATTGCAGGTGAGTTTCAAAGCTAAAATAAAATTTAAATTGCAATTTCATGACAACTCTTTCTTTCTTCTCTGTCTATCTCTCTTTCTTTTAGATATCGCAAATCGTTAAGACAACTTGAAGAGAATCTTGATGAACAAGTTTCATTCGTTCCTAAGCTACATTTTCCTGAACGTCGAACTGTACCACCTCAAACATCACCTGAACTTGTCATGTTCTGTCGTCGTGTTTACGATTTTCGTGGGAAACGTTTGGTGGAAGATAAAAAGAAAAAGTGAATGGAACAAGTCACTCATCGTAAGCAACATATCCTCTGGTGTCATAAAGTCGCTATACTGCGGAAGTGTAAAACGTGTAAATTCGTACCTTAACTTATGGCATTCATGGAAACCTCATTATTATATTATAGATGATATTTTTATTGATCTGCTTCCTAACCGAAATGATTTTAGACATCATCTGTTTCTAAAACTCAACAAAACTCTGCTGATTGTATCATGTTGTTGCTTGTAAATTGTTTAAATCTTTTTGTTGTGACCTTTAAGTGAACATTTGACATTGCTCGGTGAAATTACGATCTGAACACGTCATTGATCTAAACTGTTACTGTTGTAATCATGTGCATTGAGATGATGATGATAAGAACTTAATTTATTATGTCTAAATTTAAGAAAAAATTTTGATATGTCCCATCAGTCATCAACATTGATATCTAAAATAAATTGAAAGATGAACGGATTAAAAACTTCGTATTTACATTCATTTAAATTTATTTAATTGTTCAACTGAATGATGATGAGACACATCAAAAACAAGCATAAGTTAATTATTTACTTTCACATAGATCTAGTCCTAATTTTATTTTTCATTAAACCTTAAAAATGATTATCATGATGACGATATTCATTGATGAGAAAAAACTGTAAGAAAACACCATTTATTTAAATAAAAATGTTACACTTTTGGAACAGCAACGACTCTTCTACACGAAAAGAATGTTTGAAGAGCGTTGTCAAATAGCTGTGACCTAATTTAACTAATTTAATGGCAGAACAAGTCGATTAATGTTGTATAATTGTCGTAGCTAATCGTCATTTCTTTTCAATTGAATTTAATTTCATGTCTATGAATTTTGTAAAATATTTCGAAGAAATTTTATGATCGGAATTTTCGATTATTTTTCCCTTCAGTTTCCGTACTAAATGCCAAGCTTATTTATTCCACAGATGTCTAATTTGTAATTATTTCCACTGATACTAAAAACCAAATGAAAAAGCCTAGTTTAAGTTGTTTTTAAATTAATTTTTAAAATTCTTTGACGAACTGTAAAAATAGTTTCTTTAGTAATTTTAAATTTTAAGTGAAACCCGCAGAGTTATATGACGTACTAACTAATTGTAACGCTTAACATCCATAATTATGTATATGTGTTAAATATATTTAATGCCAGTTCTTCAATAATGATGATTTCAAATATTAGCATTGGGTTAACAAAGAATTGTCAAATATCTATCTTTATAAGAAAATGGGAAAAGTTTTTAATGGTGAACAAAATCACTTTCAAAGTACCTTAATCCACTAAGAATCAATCAAACATGATTTTAATTCAATAGCAGTCTATAAATTCAATTTCAATATCCACAACAACTTACAACTTGATGTGAATTAAAGTTTGCAATTTTTGATTTACTAACAATTTTTAGTCAGAATATCAAGAAATTTAATTCATAAAGAAGGGAACATTTAACAGGAAGTATCTAATATGAAAAAATCTATGTGTATAAAATATACATTCCAAATTTTAGTCAGAATCTTCTAATACTTCTGAATAAAATTAATTTAACAATTTTACAATCGAGACAATTTACACGAGAAAAACTTCATTAAAATATGAAAACAAAAACATTTATTTAACTGTTGTATTTAAAGTAAACATCAAAAATATTGCTATGTAGCATTAGGATTAATGTTTTGTGCTGTAAACAATTTTTAATTATACTTTGATTTTGTTTTTGAAAAAGTAAGTAGAATAGTGCCTTTTTATTTCGTTTGTCCAAAATAAGTATCTTAAAGGACTTGTGAAAATGTATTTTTTAATTATCAACTTTTTTTTTCGCAACCTTGCGAGGTGCGAATATTTGTGACAAGTTATTTATGAAGAATATTTAAAAATATGTTTAGCAATGTCATCTATCAATATTGGATGAAAACTGTAGATGAAAGCATGCTAAAAATAAATCATATGTACATGAATACAAAAAGAACAAAAGTTTTATTGTTTCTTTTTTCTCGTTTATCTTCATCTTTCAGATACTAATTAAATCCTAATAAAGATTTTTTATGAGAGGATATGTTTAAAGTTGAATGATACATCAGATAAAATACAACAACTTAATAACGGTGGAATCATCTCGATGCTGCTTGACAAGAAATATTTCCAGAATTTGATTCGACAATCAAGACTTGATTGTATGGTTCACTCTTCAAGAAGTGATTTTACATTTGTAGGGTTTTTGTGGTGAGTTTAAGATTTCATCTTAATATGTAATTTGTATAAGTTGTGTATTAAAACTTAATTTATTTAATCCAAGTCATTTAATAATATTTTTGAAATCAATAATTGATTTTTTCTTTGTATTATTATGAAAAAATTGCATAATTAAAGGAAATTGCGTGAATTTGAATTTCCCGCTTACGCAAATTATCAATACTTCAGAACTCAACGATGAGCTTCGAGGGGAGCAAAAAGAAATTTTTGAAGAAAAAGATTTTGCGTAATTTTAAAAGAAAAGTTTATATTCAATTAAAGTTAAAGAACTTTGTTCTAAATTAAATGCAATTTGCTATCATCAAATGATTAAAATTTCATGTTGTTTATTTATTGTATAAAAAACTTTCACAATTAATTTTTCTACCCCTGATTTAAGATAGGTAGCTGCAAAATGTCTATGCTGAAGTCAAAACATCGTACTTGTAACTTTGAAAATGTTAGAAGTGTGTTAGTGTGTGGAAAAATTGAAAAATTTTGAAAAAAATCGATTTGACAAAAACTATCGTCGAAATAAATTAAATTTAATTCATTAACTGTTCTCAATGAAATGGCAAAGGCTCATCGTCAATACATTTGACCAAAAACGTAAAAATAAGCGGTAAATTCGGTGAAAACGAGAGCGAGTGCGAAAGTGAGAAAGAAAAATTTTCGATTTGCTGGTGAAAAATTCCTTTGTTGTAAAGCGAACGTAATAAAGTGAGTGATAGTGTGAAGATAGATTATAGTTTATCATTCATAAGGCTTAAAGGATAATTAGAAAAGGTTCCGATATGAGTGGGCGACCCAGAACGACATCGTTTGCTGAACAACAGTCGAAACAGGCGAATCAGCACCCAATTTTAGGAATGAAAGTAACGAGTAAGTACCTAACTTAACCTCTTCTTGTTTCCTCCCCATCGACTCGTCTCCGTCCTAAATAATTCCATAATCAAACTATTTCAAGTCGTCATAAAAAAAGTGAAATGTGAAAAAAAATCCGTCGTATGATGATGATGGAACGAACCAACGTACACCATCAGAGGCGAGTGAAAATGGCGGCCGAAAAAAAAACTCAGCAGTGAAGTGAAAACCTGATTTTCGTACAATCGAAAGCACTTGGTGAATTTTTATGCGTGGCAATGCTTAATAAATAGCGTCGAGAATTCAAAGAATTACTAATTTTCTCAAGGATTTCTTAAAACATCATCCCACCGTCGATTTACGCGTATTTCTTAGCGGGGCTCGGCCTTATTCCGTCTTAGTTTTTCTTTCTACTTCTCTCTCCCTCACTTCGCATTTGGATTTCATTTTTTGCTGTCGAAATCAAAGCATAAATTATGATTTTACCTGCATTATAGTAGCGAGTGGATAAACACGACTAAGATGGCGATAGTTTAATTGCGACAATAAATTCTCTTCACCTCAATCCTCTCCACCAATCCAGTGAAAATTTATTGGTACCGCAATTTTTTTTCTTTCCTTTTTTTCCTTCATCGATGCTGCTCAACGTTATGTAAATGCCGAATAAAAAGAAGAGCATCTTTTTGATGATCCAATTGAAGCTTAGAACAAAGCTTGATGTCAATGTTTAAAGATTGATGGAGTCATCAGTTTTCGTCTCTCTTTTTGCGCAAAGTATAATAAAATGAATAGTTTTGGTGTCATTTGTGTTGACTTGAAAGTGTTTTTCCAGTCCCAAACTCCACTCGTTATGATGAGACCATTAAAAGTAATGATGATTTTTACGCATAATTTCATCGCTTCAAATATCCGTCACTGAAACTTTAATTTATTTTTCTGTTTTCATCACAATTCAATTGATAGTCTTGCACACATATATCACGTAATATTTGAAGCATTTTTTATTTCGTTGTCTAATCCAAAAATTTTTTGAGTATGAAAGAAAAAACAACAACAAAAAGTTGTGCATGATGATGACGAGGTAAAAAGGAAAAATAAAGTAGTTAATACATATTGATAAAAAAGCGAGGTCAGAACAACAAGACAAAGCAAGTAGATAGTCAGTCAGTCAATAAGCAAGAAAATGTGTTGTTGTGAAGAGAGGAAGATCATGAAACGAATAAAGAGCAAGGGCGACGTCCCCGTGTTTGATGAGTAATTACATATCACGAAGAAGCGCCAGAATGAGTTAAGAAAATTTATTTTCGTGGGTGGATAATGTAAAAGGTTTTTCACTTTTCATCAGCACATTTTATCGCCGTCATCATCATCAGCTGGATATAATTGGAAAAAATTAACAGTGAGTGAACAACGTGATGCACTCCCGGTGATAACTTCAAAAACAACAAAAAAAAACTACTTTATGAGTATAAAAATAATATAAGAAAGTAAATGGCCGAAAAATTTCATGTTGTTGATGCCTTTTCTACGATAATTTTTATTTCATTTTCTTTTTTTTTATATTTTTAGACTGAATCGCGTTACTTTCGCCAATTGTTTTACTTTTCATCTAGATAAATGATTTATCCAGTTAAAAGGAATGCGTCAAAGTAAAAAAGCTGATGATGGTTTTTATTGTAAACATTATGTGCATCATCCGGTGACGATGAGACTGGCATCTGGCATATGAGAGCAATCGATGAATAAAATTAAAAATTTCCTTGAGCATGTAGAAGAAAAAGAAAGAAAAAAACACGTCAGTGATGCAATTTTCGTAGTGAAATGAAATTGAAGAAATCTTTTTTCCTTCCTCTTTCCTCATGTGATGCAATACAACGCATGGGCGAACGTTTGAAATTTTGAGAGAGTTGCAAGTTGTGAACTTTATCGAAGCTTGAAATGGAATATTTTATTGAACATCTAATAACATGAGAGGCTTCTTCATCCTTCGTCATCAAGAAATATTATGTTGATGGCTCCCAACGGTAACGAAACTCGATGCAAAACTTTCGATTTTCTTCGTGTTTTTCCTAATCCTTTCTCATCTAACTCAGTAAATCTGAAAATTTTTGTCATCTCATCTACACTCGCTCTTTAGTTTTAAAATTGGATTTGAAAGATTACTGATCGTGTATAATTGAAATCGTGTCGATAGCTTCTTTTCATGTCACTCACTCTCAGATTGATTCTTACAATTTGAATTTGTTTCAAGTAGTTTCTGATTTAGCTTTGAATAAGCAAAGAAGTTTTTTATTTTCCTCCCACGGTGGTTTTAGTGATATAATTAATAATATTAAGAAATATTCAGAAGTAAACCACACATCAAAGTGGTTATTGAATCATTGTGTTAAACACAACGAGGAGAGAAAAGTTTGAAGTGAAAAATTTCCTTAAAAAAGACCAAAATTGATGTCAAGCCCTAGGAAGAAATCGATCCGTGAAGCGCGACTTGAAAAAATAGAGCGATTGCTTGAGAAGCACGAAAAAAGTACGCTTGCAAGTATCACCTTGTCCTCCTTCACCTCTATATGTCTCCTGTCTAAGGTCAACACTTCACACTGCCGCTGTTTGCGTTTTTATTCATGTTCATCATCATTTCTTTCCGACTAAATAATTTTATGTGTGTCTCTGTACACTTAGTAACAAAAATAAGTAAAATGAAATGGAAAAAATAAAACTAGAATTGCAAACTTGTGTCTTTCACCTTGAAAAAACTAAATGAAGTAAAAAGGCGAGCAAATGAAAAGGAATAAAAAAAAACAGCAACGGTGGATTCTAAAAATATAAATCAATATTCGTGAGTGCAACTAACGCTTCTGTAATTATTGTAAATCTTCGGAAAGTCGCGATGATGATGAAATCAAATTAAGAATGAACTCAATTGCATTAAATTTTTTATTTTCTTTTTAAATGTAATTAATTTTTAATAATATTTACGACTTATAAAGTGATTAGTTACATGCATGATGCACTTAATGAGTGTACTTGATGAAAAAAAAAGAGTCAATTACAAACATCTTACAAAATTGTATTCGAATTAAATAATTTTATGAGGACTGAGAATCAACAAATTGAAGTTGAACAACACTTCATATTTAAAGCATTTTAATTACAGTTATTGCTAGAAATCCATTTAAATGCTGTTGACACTCGAAGTTTCATTTGATATTAAAAATCGATATGAAAAGAGAAAGAAAAATTGCACAGAAGAATAATAAAAAAAACTAGCTCGCAACGATGCCACATGCAGAAACAAATGTTCTCTCAAATTAAACAGCTGATTTAATAATTACACAAAGTAAATATACATAGATATGTGTACATGTGAACGATAATTTCACTTCAGTTGATTTTGATTGATTACAGTTTAATTGCTTTCCCTGTTGCTCGTTTAACGATGTTCGAGTCTTGTTTCAAGCCAACCTCGTCAGCGCCGATAATTGAGTGTCAAGAGCAGTTGAGCTTTAGACTTGAGAAAGATTAAAAACTCTTCTTTTGTGTGCTTGTGGAGGCTGCACTTGAAGAAAACTTTCTCTCTTTGATGTTCTAGATTTGTTAGAGAGATTAGAGATCATAGAAAGCCAATGAATCGCTAAATCGATTTAACAAAAGAATGAAATGAATTATTCAAAGTGATAAATGTGGATGTCTTCATAAGGACGAAAAGCGGTTGAAGAAAATTTTTTAAATTAACTTGTAAATTTCCAAGTCGAATCGTATGAAATGAAATTGCTTTTCTCGCTCCATATCCTTTTATTCTGAAGTATCAGGGCTGAAAAGAAGGCGAATAAAGCTTTTAAACCAGCAATTGAAAGAGAAGATGAAGAGTTTTTATTTATTTTGAAGATTTCCTCCTCAATATTCAACCCAACCATTATAAGGTGCAGAATCAACTTTTTTTGTAACCACAACAAGGTAAAAGAAATGAAAAATATTCAATCGTTTCTCCTCAATCTCTTCAATTGATTGTCGCACTTCGGTCGTTTGCCTTCCTTTTTCATTCAGAAAATTTTTCTTTCTTTTTCTCTTCCTGAATATGATTAAGCGATGAGTTGTAATCCCGCAACAAAAGATCCCAACAATTCTTCATTTCGTTTCAAGCAAGCAAGCAATTATTCATTCGTGGTAAATTGGTGAAAAGATTTTTTCTCATTCTCGTTGAAAGAAAATGTGGAAAACGTCCAAGAAAACTACGCATTTCTAACCGAGAAAAGCAAAGTGAAGCACACACAAAAAGTCGATAGAGATGAAGAAGAAAATTTTGGTGAAAAACAGACGAGGGAAAATAGACATCAATTAACGATCTTCTTCTGTTTATTATTGTCAAATCAGTGAGCAATATAAGAAGTACCCTTGAACTGAAGTGGCTAGTGATCCATCTCATGTGTCTATCTCTCTCACTCTTTTACTTACTCATTCGTCTCCACCACGATTAATGATTTGAGTATTCCATGCTGAGTGTTTGAGAATCTCATTCGAAATTCAGATTAGGAGTAGCGTAAAAAAGCAAATAAATGGAAATTTAATTCGCTTCTTTTGTAGGCTTTTTTCATAGCGTTAATTTTTCTCCTCCTTTCGATCAATTCTGGAATATTTTCAGGATTTGTTTTTTATGAAACGTAATTTTTCAATCCGACTTAAACGAGCATTAAATTTTCATTTTTTCCTCTTCTCACTTCGCACCTGAATCTGATGACAATCCCAAGTGAGATTTATTTTTTATTTTCATTTTTCTGACGTTGACCGCCAACAAGACGACGCGCAGTTTTTTATTTTTCTTTCTCTTCGAATTGAGTATGAGACCAACTTTATGCGGTTTTTTTCCCTCTCTCTGTGATGCAGTTTGATCTGCAATAATTAGGTCAATAGAAAGTGAGAGGAAATCGCATGAAAAGAAGAAGTCAGAATAAATTTCGTATTTTTTGTCTTCTTTTGACTTTCAGCCACTATTTACATATAAATATTCTAGATAATTCACTTTGTGATTTATTTCATTCAATTTCTGTGGTTGAAGAAGTATATGAAGGATAATTTTTCAAATCCATTGTTTATGGCTTGCGCAAAATATTTGATAATAAATTCTCGTCTTCGAAATTCCACACCAAGGACATTTTTGTGACATTTTCTTTGCACACGCTTACACCAATGACTTGACAGAAGTTTGAAGAAAGAAGCACAAGAATTCTCAAATTCAATTTCTAATGCTATCATATTTTTAAATGAAATTTGATGTCACATTTATGGGAAGGAACACTTTTCTTCATGCATAAATTTGTCGTAAAAGTCGCTCTTGAAATTGATTTAAAGTGCTGCGAGATGTGAATTTAATGATTCTATTTTTCCTCCACCGCTAAAGTGAAGTCACTTTTCTAATGCCAAGGAAACCACGTGTGGAAACAGCGTAGATGGAAAAATTGTTAGTTTCGCGCTTGAAATGCTTTTGTATGATGATGATGTTACATATTTAGTTGCCATGACACCATGGTGTAAGAGGAAAATATGAAAAATATAAATAATAGAAAATTGTTATTTTTTATGAGCATGTATAAAGCTATGCTTCGCTTAGTAGTTAGCGAAGAAAAACAAAATAATGTCAGGCTATATAGGTCAATTTTAACGGGAATGAAAAAGCAAACTTTATAATCGTCCAAGAATTTCTTTGGAATTCTCTCAACAAAGTTGAATTTTCTAGGTGAACTTCCTACTGATTTTGATTAAGCAAAAGTTTCTCAGAAGACCTTTTTATCGATTTCATTACAACATTTCCGATCAAGAATGACATATTTTGGGTGGAACCTTTGATTTCCTATTTATGAGAATCTAAGTTATTTACTACTTAGTTGTATAGTTACATTCTTTGAATAAATGTTTCACTGCTCAGTTGTTTATTTGGCATTCTTCATTCTTGGAAGAACTTAACGAGAATCAGAAGAAAAAAAGAAACTTTGACCGAACTTGACCTAGCCCAATTATTCTTAAAAGCGCGACATTCAACGAAACTGCGTAGGGAAAATAATAAAAAAAGACATTTTTATGGATTAGTTTCATGCGATTAGACTTGTAGAAGATTTTCTTTCCGTTTTCTTCTGTAAGAAAAAAGAAATGATGGGAAGGGAAAAAGAAATAAACATCATCAGGGAATATTGATTGGGCACTTGAAAAGTGAGAATTATTGTCGCCAAAGCTGTAAGCTTTTGGGTGATTCCCTAATGTATATTACTTCAGTTATATCAGCAATTCTATCCATTGAAATGGCATTAATTTGATTACTTCCTAATTACAGAATTATTTTTCTGAATTGTATTTTATTGAACATAGAATGAAAGTAATGGAAAAACTTTTCTAAAGATAAAATTTGTTTCTGATAATTTTTTTTCTTATCATGTATAAACAGAAGTCAACAAATTTATAATTGAAATTATCAGCATGACAATGAAAACAAGGTTTCATTGCAGTCATTCATTAAACTTGTAATTAGGAAACTTGAGATTCTCATTCAATTCAAGGGAAAATTTTTGAAAAATCGATGATCGACATAAATTGATAAGATTTTGGCATGTGTCTGAGGGGAATAAATGTTAATGTGCGCATTTTTCTCCCCTTGGTATCCCCCAAATGGTATTTTTCAAATTTCCCCTTGTATCCCCCAGTTCTTCAATGTTGAACGAGATACAAAACTGTCCGGGATACTTTTCTACTGTGGAGACATAATCTGATTTGAAAATAAAACCGTTATTTTTCAGCATTTAAAAGCATTCACTTGTTTACTTAAAATATATTTTAATTGAAATGTTAGAAGTGTTTCATTTAAATAATTTAAATAAAATAATTTGCAAATACTTCAATTCTTAAACATTGATTGTAACTCTTTTAAAAATCGAACGAGGGTATTCGAGGTGTTTGAATTTCCATACGATTTTTTAAAAGCAAAATAAGTAACGTGCCTTGTTGTCATCATGTTTTTCCAATTTAATGTATGTACATAAATTTTTTCACATTTTCAATTAACGAACGCAGAAATTTTGGGCGGAAAAAATAGGATTTTTGCTAATATCATTAAGAAGTCAAATCGTACAAGGGTGAATGACATAATTGTTGACTGTCACTTGTTCTCCCTCTAAATTACGTCCTCCGCAACATTAATTAAAGGTTGTTTGTTTCATTGAATCATCATAAAATGCCAAAGTCACCGGAATGAGAATTAATTGGAAAAAGTATTACCAACAACCAATGTCAGAGGATGAATTTTGTTTCGTCATGAATGCAAACTTTATTAATCTATTATTATTATCTTTTGTCTTAGTTCTTCTTATGACTTATCAATCTTAAATATTTATTATCGTGATCGTAGAGTATTTAGTAGCCAATCGGAAATTGTCTTCTTAATTGACTTAAAGGAAGTTTTGTGATATCGATAATAAACGACGCAAATGTAGCAAAAGATGTTGAGATGAGTCATTGAAATGTTTATCCTTAATTTGAAAATCAATATAATGAGAAAGAAAAGTTATTTATCTTGAAAATTTGATATATGAATCTTAAAATTGAATGCTTTAGATATTGAATATCATAATAATAATAAAGCTTCTCTCCTTTCCCTAAAGCTAATTTAAAGAAAACAAATTGTGAGCGAGGAAAAGAAATCCATAAAATATGTTTTTGATTATTATTTGCACAACCGTCCCATTTTCAAATGAAACACTCAGATATGGAAGGCTAAACATTGTATGCTTCTGATAGCTTTTCTTCGATTCAAGCAGCCATAAGCGCTATGAGTAACCGTTGCTCTGAATGTAATGTAAACAACTCATTATCATCAAAGCTTCTTTATCTAGGGCCGACAAACTTCTCTCCTAACAATGTCCTTGACCGTGAGTGTTGGTAGTCAGTAAACAAAAGCAAAATGGAAGGGAATCAATCGGAAGCACAGTCAAAGAAGAAAACTCTTGAATTTTCATCTGAAATTTTATCAGATTCAAAACAACTTTGTGCAAGCCAAAATAATCTTTTGAAATTGGTAGAAAAGTGTTTGTAATTGATATTAATTGTGAAAACGTAACAAATGGCAGCAATCCAAATTATTTCGCATCGTCGATCTTGACCCAGCCTTGATGATCTCATCTAAATTTAAATTTTTAATGTTTCTGTATTCATTTTAACTCATTGCATGTCGTTTGTTTCATGTTCAGTTTTATTTATGCTTTAAAAAGAAAAATAAACTCATAAAAGTTTTATTATTATTTATTTTTAATGAAAGTGCATGGAATTTCGAAGCCCAAACCTAATCAAGTGCGTGGTAGCAAATCAAAAGATAAAAATTGCCTCGACTTTCTTGACACTCACATAATCATTCATCATATTCCTGATGGTAAGAATATTGCGTGATAAGTGTCGATACTTTCATTATCCTTGTGCTGTGTTTACGTGACTTATCACCCGCGTCTTATTTACTGTCATCTTTGTTTTCATCATAAACAATCTATTGATAAGGAAACTTTTCCGTCTTCATAAGTATAAAAAATGGAATAAAAGCTTATCGTTGTTACGAGAAAAACTCTTCTTAGATAATCTCCCATCATCAAAGCTTTTACCTTTAAGATTGAAATTTGTCCCGAAAGCCAAAATTAATGAAAATCATTTTTAGTTTGCCGTGGCGAAATGTATTTGAGACAACAGATATTAAATCATTGAAACACATGTCTGTGGGTTAGTTACACAACAAAAATTCATAATGCAGCTCATTTGAATTTCTATAAATAATAATTATAATAAATGAAGTTTTTGACGAACAAATGGTCAAATAACGGCAACTAGTGACATGAAATTTTTAATAATGACAAACAAAAAAAAAATTCTGTTCGATGTAACTTGTAAGTTCATCCGATAAGCCATTAAAAGCGACATTATTGATGGCCCCTGCGGTGTTTGTAGAGTGATTTAATATTGTATTTTAATTACTTTAGCTCATGGTAATGTCATTTACAGTATAAAGTAAACATTTTAAATCTGCCTTCTTCTATTTATCCTAAGGATCAATGTTATTCTGGTTTCCATCCATTTAATCTTATTCTTATGTCAATGATAATGGTGATGACATTGTCGTAAACATTTTTGTGATGAGACAATTTTGCTTTCTTTATCTTATCAGCAACAAATGTCTTAACATTTTCACTCATCATTGAATATCGTTGAGTGTTAGTAATGATGATGTCTGCAAAAGAATCGAAAGAAAAAGAAGGGCAATTGAAGGGAATTCGATGAGAGAAGCAAAATAAAATAAAATAACTGAAAATGGAGATATCGGCGCCGTTTCTCGTTTGCAAGTGGAATTCGCGGTATGTGAAGCACATATATTTATGTGTATGTCATACCAATTTGGAGAGAATTTATGCCTGTTGACATTCGTCATTGATATTTCATCACACATGTTTTAAGTGAATTCCTCAGAAGCTTTTTATCGCTTGTTTAATTAAATATTCGTTGGTTTACTGAATAACTGAAAAATATGTTCCAAATGCGATACGAAAGATAAAAAATTTAAGAATCGAAATTAAATTCATTCATATTTATGTTGATCGAAAAACGAGAAAACCGAGAGCGAAAAAAAGAGCAAATGCAAGGGGAAACCAACAAAAAAGAATTACAGGAAAAGGCAGCATATTTCCGAGAACTACCAGAAGCAATTCCAAGAAAATTTTATCGAATTCTTGGAAACTAGACATACCTTCGGAAAAGCACTACCCAGTATTTTCCGAAGCACCATTTCGTTGGGGAAATTATATGTTGGCTTCCCCCTCGAAGATATGTGTGGGTTTAGTTTCGTTTATTATGATGAGTTTCTTACTCAAATGAGAGCTTTTAGTATTCATGTTAAAGAAACACATCATTCCTTTCTCTCCTTCATTCAAGTTTAAGTATGAGCATACGAGTTTCTTTTTTCTGTTCATCGTCTGTTTGAGTTGAATACTAATGTAAAATTTTGTTATTCACTTAAAATGAATTCGTGTTGCCAGTGTTGATTTTGCAAAAAATGTAAAATGATAAGAAATCAGGCAATACCAATACATTTATAACGATCAAGAGTATTATCTCAAATACATTCACCGGTTGCGCGGAACGAGAAAAGGAAAAAACATTAACAAAAAAAAATCAAATACACAATTTTAAGTCAGTATATGATCGGACTTTGTTAGGAATTGTTGTGACTAATACGAGTTGTCGTCTCAAAGTGCAAAAAGAAAATATCATTGAATGATTATTAATACAATTGAGTTGTAGAAACTCATTAGTTTTCTTTCTATAATAAGTAAATAAAGAAAATTTCCTAACAGACAGTGGAAGTTTAATGGTTGATAACATCGGTCGTGTTATTGCATCAGTTAAAAATTACACACAATTTCATTTCGGTGCGATTTCAAGTTTTTTATTCTCTTGAAGTTCGGCGAAAGTGAAGGCAGAGAAACAGTAAAAATAATTCTCGCGATTAACGTGAGCAACTTTAAAAGAAAATACAGAGAACATATTTACATTTATCTGAAAATAGAATCAAGTTGTTGAATTGTCGATGAGCGTGTCGAACTTCTAAACTTTTGTCACGTTCAACCTGCTGATATTTTGATTCACAATAAATTTTTAATGATCTTGATGCCTGATAAATAAAAGTGAAGAAAAGCAAACAGAATTGATTGTGATCACGGTTTTTAAAAGTTTTTATTAATGGAAAAAGCGTAAAGAAAATTTAAGAAAAAAAGTGAAAATTTTTGATGATGTAAAAAAACTATCAAAAATCTTAATCGTTTTAATTAAAGGCGCGAAAGATAAAACAGAACCGAAATAAAACAAAAGCATCATAAGTGAAAGTTACTCGAAGCAAAACAGAAGAAAAAACGCCCAAAATACGAATCAAAAAGGAATTCTAAAAATAAATTTTTCGTTTTTACTGAATTCGAGAGCCGCGCGATTTTTCTTGCGTGTAAGCCAAATAAAAATATGCGAGAACTTAATGAGATACACGATTTTGTTGATGACGGCTTTCATGGTGTAAATGACATAATGGCTGTGGTAACTGTTCAAGATTCATCGCAAGATTATTCAAACTTAACCAGTGATAAGTGTGCTGTCGACTCTGGAATCGTTTATGATCATGAGGAAATGAGAAACAGCAGCAAATTCAGTATCAGCAGTCATGCGTCATCAAAGAATTTACTGAAAGGAAAAGAGTTAAACGATAGTGGTATTGATAGTATTGAGAAAATATCCAGTCGAGAGTTTGCTTCAAAGCAAAGTCTCTCAAAATCTTCAATTAAATCTTCATCAGTATCGACATTTGCTGTACCAATGCGGGAGACAAAAACAGTCTCAAAAATTCGTAGCAAACGTTACAGCCTTCCTGACATTGACAAATTGAAACATTACGAAGGAAAAAATGGCAAAAAACCAGCAATGATAGCTAGACAAACTCACTGTGATATTCAGGAACTTAGAGAACCTCCAGCAACGATCCCGTTAGTTCCAACACAAGCCAATGCCACTAAACTACTCGATAACTTTACTATAGATCCAAAACTTATCAATAAATACGATGGATTGGCGCAGTCACTTTATTATATCGATGAAAACGGAAGTCCAAAGATAAGAGAACGTTACCTGAAACAGCAACGAATGTTAATAGAAAAGCAAGAACAGAAGCGAAAAGAAAAAGAAGCTAAACGTCGGAGAGAAGAAAATGACGGTTCCTGCTCATGTTTCAACTTCAGTCGATTGTCAAAGAAACTAAAAGAATTGTGTAAGTAGTTTGGGGAAAATTCCATCACGTCGTTGCTTAGTGAAATGTTGAAAACTTGATCCGGTTTTGATCTACTTTATAACTTTCATTATTTGCAATTTATTGCTATTTATTTACAAAATATCATTTTAATTGTACTTTGATGATCCTTCCGTTCAACAACAAAGCTAATATTATATAGCAAGTGCAATGTGCAAGAAATCCATTAAGCTAATGATGAAAACTTTTCTTTCTAGAGCATTTGAGAACTTTTAATCAATGACTTTGAGGTTTATCGGTAAATTCCATAAATGATAACGCTTTGATTGCGTCACAAGTTTGTCAGCTCATGAGACATCGAGTGTGTCGTTTATCGATAGAAATCAGAAATTTTCCCTCATTGGAATTGAATGTTGTTATTTATACATTTATTTATTTTGTTATTTTCATGATTATAAATAACACGTGAAGCTTTTCCATTAGTTTTCCTGTTGTAATAAACCTAAAGTTGATTCAAACGTAAACATAGAAATAATTCTGAATGAATTTAATTCACTTGGCTTATTTAAAGAGTTAAAAATCCTTCTATAATTATAATTATGACTCAACATCTTCTGCTGGACATAACAGAAAGTTGATGACGTAATTAATTCGATTAATTCATTTTTCTTGATTCATCTTATGACTGGATTTGTCTGTTTCGTTCCCACTCGTTTAGAAAATTTTATTTTTAGTAGAAATGAAGATGAAAAAAAAAATTGAAGATGGTTGGCAATAATTTGAATTTTATGCCGATCTCAGTGTCGGGGGATTTCAACTCTAATGTCTCAATTCATCAGTTTGTTTATTTTTCACAAGACGGGAGAAAGGTTGGTAGGTGACAGGAAAGAGAAGTGATTTTGATAGAGAAATAAAGCACACATGAGATAAAAATTTGTCGCATGAAATGATTTAATGCGTCTGATGATAATTACCATGACTGGGAAAGCAATCACATGATTGTTAAACAAATTTAAGCAACTCGACAACACAAGAATGCTTTCGAAATTTGAATGTTGATGATGAGATGTGTTCCCATTTATTTCTTTCTTGTGTTTACTTCAAAAAGTAATTTAACATTTGCGTAGCTTTCCTTCAGACTTGAATAATCAAACGATAATCTCACACGGAAACGTATTCGCTTCAATTTAGATCGCCTTGCTTTTCAGTTAGCCATGAAGTTTTATGAATTAAGAAATGAAAAAAAAAATCAAATTTACGCTTAAATTTTTCCTTCCAAATTGTTAGCGTCGTCAATTAAATTTGTAGACGGTTTTGTAAAGCTTTTCAAGATCAGAAAAATGAATCATGAAAAACCATCGGATATGGCAAAACGAAGTTCAATTGACGGTAAATCGCTTTAATTTTCTAAGTATGTCAGATAAAATCATTTGTGACAAAGACATTGAAGTTTAATCCGCCTTCATGACGTTTACGACAAAATCAAGTAATTCGCGCTACTCTACATATAAATGTACACATAAACAAGGAAACGTTATCTTTATGATGAGTGTCACGAAAATAGAACAAGCTTCTCTCTAGATAATAACTAAAATTCTTTTAAATAACTGATATAAACAAAAAATATGTTCATAAATTCAAATCACCCAGATTATGTGCAAGTAGTGGGTGTTTAAAGGCTTCTACGAAAAAAGAAGTGAGTTGGGTAATTCCATCAAAATTGCGCAGTAGACTGAACAAGTATCATAAAACTTTTTCACCTGAAACGATCTTAAGTCTAGCTTACATACATTCTACCTCAGAAAAAAGCTTTTTGATTGAGCACATGTGAAGAAGCTTTCAGAAGCGTGGCACAGTGACCATTTACTTGTTTCTTATCAAATTCGAAGGCACTAAACTCGATTCGGTGGGAAATTGAAATCATGGAATTTATCATGAAAACTTACTTAACACAATCTTGATGATTTTAGAAGATTTATTGTTATATTGTAGTTTTTAAGATAAATTGTATAAATAGAAGGAATGTACATAAGTGACGTAAATATTGAACTCAGACACACTTCACTATTATCTCTTATCGACAAAGTTGCACTCTGCTAGCGGACGATACTTAAGACTTCTATCAGGCGAGACGATAATGTCGTGACTGAAGTGTTAATTCATTAAATATGACCGTCAAATTTGCGATATATTTTATTTACATTCAACTTAGCTTGGATTAACAACAAGCGATCCAGATAAACTTGCTGAAGTATTAAACTAGTTTCACTCATCATTTGAGAAAGTAAAGATGATCATTTAGAAGCGCGATGATCATGAATGCAATTTTTTTAGACGATAACCCTTCTTGACTATTCTGTTCGTGTTCTCAATTTATTGTTTTCGACTATTTGAAATTAATGACGTTCTTGAAACAATTTCATTCTGTAAAATGATCTCAAGTTCATGATGAATTGTTTTTCAAATTTTGATTTCTGACACCAAAAAGTGGGTGCGCGAGAATCTGAAAAATGATGAAAATTTTATCGGAGTTTTCACAAGAGAAAAGTTTTTTTATGTTTTGTTTTTGGCAAAGGTTTTTGTTAAAAACTGACCACTTCTTACTAAATATAAAGCCACACAAATTGAGGGTTAAAAATAAAACAGAAAATATTTGTTATGATCAACAAAGCGTGGAAATATCGTTGCGTGAATTTATTTTGATATTCTTGATGCAGAAAATGTAATTAAGACGCAAGATGACTCCATGAAAGATTTTCGCAATCGAAATTGATCGTCTTGTCGCCAATTATAAGTCGAAATTCTCTCCGGTTAACATGATTTAAGAGTCTTGAAAATTTCTAAATACTTTGCGAAATTTATCTGCCATAACCAATCGGAATAACTTTAATTAAGCTAATTGAGTTGTTTTTCTGCTGCCAATCGTAAGAGAAATTTAAATAATAATAATAAAATAAATATCAAGCTGATGCACGAAACGTTAACAACAGAATGAAAGCAATTACAAATATTATTGACTAGTTTGTGTTGAACAAGCTCGAACTAACTTTTACTCGCTTTATTTGGCTCCCATTTTAATGTTTCCCTGCGCAGACTTTTCATTTAATCTTTCTGCAAAAAAGAGGGAGAGATTCAAGGTCAATTTAAAGAATATATTTAATAAAAATCGAATGAATATTTAAGGTATGACATAAGAGTCTTTTAGTGGGTCTTGTTGGTTTATAACAGAAAAATTTCATCGAATATCATCAAAAATCTATTTATGTAAACAAACAATCTGCTTATACGCGTCTGGAAACGATTGAATCGCAATTCTTTACAAATACGCAACAAATAATAATTGTTTAAAGAATGGATAAGAATTGTTGCGTAGAGTGTTGTCTAAGTTTCAAATGAACGTGACAATGACTAATTCAACAGACGTAAATGATAATTGTCGATGTTCGATTTTGGTTTCAACTTTAAATTATCTTTTCTGTACCTAAACACGCCCATTTTTCGTCAAGTCAACGTGATTCACATCTCCTGCTTAATTGTATAATTGTAATGTTAAGCTGATGAACATCCCTAGGTAGCCCTTGAATTCCTAAGATAAGAAAATTCTTTTTTGATGTCTGATCGGTTTTATTTTGTACGTTCAATCGTTCAATCTATTTATGTATTGTCGCAACAGCGCAACTTGTGAAATTAAAATTCAACAACGAATCGATCCAGTTTCTTGTTCCTTTCTCACTCTCTCAATTTAATTTATTCAACTTTACTGTTTACACTTTCAGCTTTTTTTTTGTTTGATTATACATAAAGTTCCGCCATTCGATACGAAAGTAAAGAAGTCTGGTCAGGTTTTTGTTGCTTCTCTCTCTTCAATTTTTGAATACGACGCAATTCTGCGATGCTCGCAAGTTTTTTTCTTTCTTTTATTTCTTCTTTTTCAAGCTGACGTGTGTAAAAATGTTTTAACTACCTCTATCGATGTAAATTAAGGCGCTAAAACGAGAATGATTAAGCTCAAATGTCTTTGTGTTTGACTTTAAAGTTTATACTATAGAAATATAAATGCGAGAATGAATTAATGGCAAAAACGCGTCTTCATGATTTGCATTCTCGTTCTGTACATTGTTGAACGTGACTTTCTCACTTTACCCATACATTGTTCTTAAGTTAACATTTTTGGCAGCTTATTGAATTGTTATTTTGGGTTTTTCTCAATTTTATACGTCACATGACATAAGAAGTGAATAAATCACTTTAAAGACGTCACTTTTGTTAAAGTATTTGTTGTTGTTTGTTGTTGACTTGCTGGGGGTCAAAATTGATGAATCTTTTTTATAAATAAAGCAAACCACACAGGTTTAGCGATAAGATGACAAATGACGAGTCGATGTTTCTTAAGCTTCTCATTTATTTTCCTTTGTTATCATTATTTTAATTAAATATTGTTTTATTTATGAAAACTCATTAATCGTAAATTGCGATTAAGTTTTCTATTTTTGTGTCATTATTTTTCTTTTACAATCTTTGTTTAATTCGAAAACCTTTCTCGCTCTTATGCAAAATTGATTTTGCAGGTAAAGATGGATCGAAAGTAACGACAGTGGTGGCAACACCCGGCCAAGGACCTGACAGGCCCCAGGAAGTCTCATATTCGGACACGAAAGTGATTGGAAATGGAAGTTTCGGTGTCGTCTTTCAAGCCAAACTGTGCGACACTGGAGAGTTGGTTGCGATCAAGAAAGTTTTACAGGACAAGAGATTCAAGGTGAGTTTAAGTTCAAATATCTCATTTAATTCTCATCAATCTTTCAAGTATTTTTGAGCTAATTAATCATTAAATCTTCTTACAGAATCGCGAGTTACAAATAATGCGAAAGCTCGAGCATTGTAATATTGTGAAGCTGAAGTACTTCTTCTACTCAAGTGGCGATAAGGTAAATCGACTTATTTCAATGCTTTACATATTTGTATCGTAATAATAATAATTATAATTTAATGAATGCATCGAGAGATCGATTTTTGAGCATAAAACTTATCATTTCTTTTTTTTTCTGTCTCTTCCAAAATATTTTTTGTTCGTTTTTTGTTTTCTTCTGCAAAACAAAACAATCAAAACAAATATGTTTTGTTTTTCATTCTTCTTTTTTCTTCCATGATTTGTTTATGTAATTAATTCAATCAACATATATCGGCCTTTTATTTTCAAAAAACAAATATTTGATTATAAAAAAATAAAAATAAAATTAGCGACCAGACATGCCCGTTGGTTTAGGTGTTGGGATATTTGCTGGTGCGCTGCAACCTCAGGTCAGATGAAATTACGGATTCAAATGAATCAAGAAGAAATGCTTGTTCTAGTGTTTTATTTGATTCTTAAATTATTTCCTTTGTATTTCCTTAGACTTCCTTTTAAACCTTTTTTTCTTTTCTTTCTTAAATTGCTTAGAATTTCTTAAGATTTTGTAACTTAACTTGCTCGTTAAATTGATATTCCTTATACATGTTTTGTTTTCTTTTTGAAAAAAGAAAAAAACAAATCTCTCTTGAAGTAGCACAGCTCTAATCTCACAGAAGAGAAGCTTTTCGTCCCTTTTGATTGATAGTTTTTCTTTTGTCTCATCTGAAACGATCAAAAGGATGAAAACAGAAGCAAAACGAAAAGAAAGGAATCACGATTGATTTTAAATCACAACACGAATTTGATATCAATGTTGTTGTTGCTGTTAGGAAAACATAAAACATAAATGGATGACCAGAGATTACTACCATATATTTTATGTTTTTCTTTTCTTGTTTTCTTTTTTTTTCTGTCGTCACTTTGTTTGATTTTAATCCAAAAAGAGAGCAGAAAAAAATAAACGAATATGGTGTTAAGCTAACTCACCTTTTGCTACTCAGCTCTAATTTTGTTTGCTCTCGAAAGCGAATGTTTTTCATTCTTTCCTTTGACAAAATTATTTGTTTCAAATTGAATCTTTGAAAAGCAAGCATCTTAGAAGATAATCTTAATCCTTAATTTGTTTTTTTCTTCATCAAAATATTCTTTTTCTCGTTTCACAGAAGGACGAAGTTTATCTGAATCTAGTGCTCGAATATATTCCAGAGACCGTCTATAAAGTGGCACGCCAATATGCAAAAAACAAACAAACGATACCAATTAATTTTATCAGAGTGAGTTAATTATTTTCCTCACTTTCTTTTAACCTTTTGTAACCTTTTCTTTGTTCTTGCGTTTGCTTTTATTAGCTTTACATGTACCAATTGTTCCGAAGTCTCGCTTACATCCACTCGTTGGGAATATGTCATCGTGACATTAAGCCGCAAAATTTGCTGCTTGATCCCGAAACGGCTGTGTTGAAATTGTGTGACTTTGGCAGTGCTAAACAATTGCTGCAAGGTGAGCCCAACGTATCGTACATCTGCTCGCGTTATTATCGAGCGCCTGAACTTATCTTTGGTGCAATTAATTACACGACAAAAATTGGTAAGTATTAAAAATAATTTTTAAATATTTTCCTTTTTATAAAATTGAAAATTATTCATTGAATGTTAGACGTTTGGAGTGCGGGTTGCGTGCTGGCTGAGTTGCTTTTGGGACAACCAATATTTCCCGGTGACTCTGGGGTTGATCAGCTTGTCGAGATCATAAAAGTATTGGGGACGCCAACAAGGGATCAGATCAAGGAGATGAATCCAAATTATACTGAATTCAAATTCCCGCAGATCAAGAGCCATCCATGGCAGAAGGTAAGCACTTAAATTTTAATTTTAGTAGTCAAAGATTATTTTGTATTTCTCTTTTAACTTTAACTTGCTACTAAATAATTAAGATTTTCAAAATTATTAGTGAAGGAAATAAATGATGTTATTGAATTAAAATAAGATTAGAAAGCACCATTCTCAGTCGATATCGGCTTTTCGTCCAATTTCAGTTAATGCTTGAGCGAAAGTCATTCGTAGATTCTTCGAAAGACCATCAAGGCATAAGAGTAAGACAAACGAAGACCAAACCGTTTTATTTTCTTTCTTTTCGTTTTTTGATAAAAGTTTATCTAAGCGCAATTGTTTTTCTCATTCATTCTGCAATGTGTTTAACTTTTTTTTTCATTTTAATTTCTAATGGCTTTGAACGACACATCACGATAATTAATTGCATTTACGCGCGCATATTCATTCGCCACAAGCTGGTCAAACATTTAACAAGACTTTTCACATATTTTCGCTTCACCGAGTTTTCGTGATTGCTGTAAATTGTGAGAATCTTAATTTAAGTCTTTGTTACCGCGTGACTTCATTATTCCTGGAAATATAATTTCTAATCGAATGTGTCATGTACGGACATTGATTGTTGTGTATAAGCTACTGAAGATGCATCTTTAGATGTTGTCAAGTGATATTCATTCATCATATCGTTGTTGCTTTTATTTTCTTTCATCAATTCAATCAAATATTTATTAACTGAAATAAGACGACATCAATTGAGAGTGTTGGCCGACTTTAAAAGGCATCACAATTAAAATTAATCTCCCTTGTTTGATGTTTCCCTACTGACAACAATGAATTCACAAAGCATTGAGTAAACAAAAAATTAAATAGATACAAAATTAAAAAAAAGAAAAGTATCGAGAAAGTCAACAATAAATAAATTAAAATTCATCTTTAAATTGAAATCTTTTTCTTCCATCAAACAAAATGAATGTTTCGAAGAATTTGCTGAATTGAACTAAATTGCTGTTTGTTATTTTGTTTATCGACATTGGCATTCATTTGATATTCTTAATTAAATTTTTTCTTCCTTCTTTGAAATTTTCTTATGTTTAGGTATTCCGAGTGCGTACACCACCCGAGGCGATTGCATTAGTTTCACGTTTGCTTGAATATACACCTGGCGCCAGAATAACGCCATTGCAAGCTTGTGCCCATCCGTTCTTCAATGAGCTGAGAGAGGGCAACAAAACTTTACCGAATGGACGCGAATTTCCTCCGCTGTTCAATTTTACAGAACAAGGTAAGCATTACGTTACGCTACGTTTAAATGTTAACATTACGTACGTTTTGATCTTACGTTACGTGAACGTAAGCAATTTTCCGAGAGAAATCTTAATTATTGTTCTTTTTCTCTGCTTTTAGAATTAACAATACAACCATCATTAAATAGTAGCTTATCGCCACGCAATCCCGATGCACCGTCCAACGCCGGACAATCATCATCACAGCCAAGTGTCGGAGGCAGTGGAAATGGCAACGAGACCAGCAGCAATCAGCAATCACAATCGTCATTAAATCAATCTGATATCACAATACAGACAGCCGACTCAACGACAGTAAAGGCCGATGCGAGCCAACAAGTTCAAGCATCAACAATGGGTTAGCTAAAATTAAAATTAGATGAATTTCATTTAACTGATGAACATAATAACGCTATTGATAATTGTTTATAGACATTTAAAAAAAGAAAACATAAAAAAAGTTAAAACAACAAAAAAAGTAAAAGCAGATTCAAAAATTTAAATTATACTGTAAAAGATTTTCTTTATCTTTTTTTTTTTGACTAGTGAAAAGAGCAAAAAAAAATGAAAACATTAATCAAATATCAATGTCATCATCATGATCATTTAAAAAAAGAAAAGAAAAACATTCAAAAGAAATCTAATCAAATTTTACCCCTTAATGCAAAGAAAAAACACTTACGCAAAATATATATCTATATTTTTTTTCGGTTAAATAAAATATAAACTCACAAATTTATTAAAAAAAACATTTGAAAAATATAAATGAATTTTGTCTGAACTTACTGATAAGCTCGATGATAAACATGAAGCTCTTTAATGATTAAAAAATAAAAGTTTGCATCTCAACAATCGTTTCTGTCGCTATGATTGTTTCTCTTAATCTTCTCACACTGCAGCTCTGGAGATCAAAATGCAATTCGTTTTAAGGCTGGAAAATGTCACTTTCGACAAACTCGTGATAGTAGCTGAATCATAGCGAGAGCAACGATTGATATTGAGTGCGAATAATAAAGAAAACTTATGGGACATTTTTAAGGAAAAGTTGTTTTTTTTCTGGATTTTTTATAAAAAAAAGAAAAGAAAAAATTGTGTAATTAATAATTATAAAGAATATTATTAGCTGATAGTAGATAACATGAAGAAATCAAGAAGACGAGAACAAAAGAAAGAGAAGAGAAAACAATTTTTTGCTGTTCCCGACACCTACACACACACAACACAACTAAAAAAAATATTTGCAAGATTTATATTAAAACAAAAAAAATATTAAAATATTACGCAAAATACACGCCCTCGTTAACTCAATGGATGATAATGATGTTATTGGGGAAAGACAACAAATTTGTAGACGAAACAAACATTTAAAAAAGAATAACAGGAAGAAAAATAAATCTTTTAAAATCAATAAAGATTTTGTTTTTCCCACTTATGAAATTCAAGAATTTCTCTAACTTTCTATCGATCGAAATCAATTTAGCGCGACAATTGTTGTTTGTAATTTGCTTAATGCGGAATGTTCTTGACAGTTGCAGCGGTAGTTCTAAGCAGTTTCTAAGTTTATTCGAAGCAGTTAGAGAAGTTCGGTTTCCCTCTTACATCGCTTTTTGCAAAAGAAAAAAGAAGTTATTGAAACTAAGTGGACAAGAAAAAAAAGATATTTAAACAAGGAAAATTGATAGAATTTTAGGGCCAAAAATATGGAAAAAATTATTAAGAACACATCAAAAGGAAATATATAATTTTTAATTAGATATTATTTTTGTATAAACGCGTCTTAATTGTAGATTTTTATCTTTCTTCTTCACACTTCTTTTAATTACCTACTGATCATCTTTGTTTTCTTTTTTAAACTTAATAAAATCTTATATGTAGTAATTTAATGATAAAGATACAAAAAAAAAAGAAAAACTTAGCTAACGCTTGATGTCGAACAAAAACATTCGAGTGTTTGCAATGAGAGACGAAACATTTAAAATAAAAGGATGGAAAATTATATCGAACATGGATGAACGATGTTATTGTTTTGTTTTTATTTTTCTTACTATTTTGTTGATCTTCTTCTTTCATGTTAGGAAAAACAATTATAGCTTTTTGTAAATGTGGTCTTTTTATTAATAAAAAGAGTGGAAGGAGCTTATGGAGCATCGTTTAATTAGGATTACTGCTATATGTAATAAACTTTTGTCATGAAAAACAAGAAGCATTAAAATTTCTCACAAAGAAAAAGAAAAAAAAAATCTCTTTCGCGCTTCTCGAATGATATTGACAAAAGTTTTTGTGAATTTCTTTTCCCATATACATTACTACTGATAACTGGATTAAAAAATACTCTTGAAAGGGAAAAGAAATGGTTCAATAATGTACGCGAATGCAATTTTATTATCTCAATATATAGCTCTCCTTTGTCCTCCCAGCAGTTCCTTATTCACCTCCCGCCCACAAACACACAAATTAAAAAAAACTAAAACTTACAAATCTTTTTTAGAAAAATAAAGTGTCAAGAAAAAAACAGTAAGCAAGAAGAACTTTTTAAATCAAAACTATTTAAAAATACCTAAATATCTTAGCAAAATAAAATAAAATAAAAATTAAATAATTAAAGCTCTTATCCACGATTAAAGAAAATAAAAAAAACAAAACTTTAAACGATAAACGGATTTTCATGTAGTAGAAAATGAAAGAAAAGATAACAATTCCTCTCTCACCCCAACGCTGATGAAATCAGAATTTTAGAATGAAATTAAAGAGAATAAAAATACATGTTTAATTGTAAATATTAATCCTATTGATAAAAAATGATTATCGATAAATACAGATTTAGAATGAAAAATAAAAGGGAAAAAATAAATGAAAAACTTTTTCTTTTTCTTTTTATTGCAGAGTTTGCAGGCTTTAATGAAAATCTTGAATCTTAAGTTAGTTAGATATATTTGTTTAATTTAATCAAATCAACTATTCATTGAATCTTTTGTGCTGATGATGGGACGAGGCCTTTGATTAAAGACAAGCTTCTTTTTGATTAGTGCAACAACATGATACTCTGTCTCCACTTTTGTACGATTCTCTATATTTATGGTGCTGTCAAGGATTAAACTTTCACCGAGAAGTGAACTACTAGGGTTTGGTTCGCCAACGTCATTTTCAATATTTTTCTTCTCTATACTTTTCTTTTCAATCACAGCAAATGGTTTATTTAGTTGAACTTCTTTTCCAAAAAGAATATGATGTCCAATAATGAGTATCTGCGATTGAAAACATTAAATTGCATACAATTTGTCAGGAAGAATGTCATTTTCTTACCGGATGACCATATTTGTTATAAATAACGTCGCCAACAAACTTCTCCGAGCAGTCTACGACACCAGCGTGACGACTTTGTAAATCTCCTTGCAGTTCAATCATCATGAACTCTTGAATTTTTCCAAATCCTGAACTTTTAATTATTATAGGCATTTTAAATCTGTTTCTTTTATTTTGTTTACTTTCAAAAAGCGCCAAAATTAGTCTACAATATTTTGTAGACTTCTTTCTTTGAATCAAACTCTACAAATTTGAAAAGATTAAGACGGTTACATTAAACGTTTTATTTATTGAATCTATTTCACCTAATTTATTAAATTTCCGATTTAATTCACATCATATTAAACCATGAAATAAACGAAATAGCATAAATAAATAAATGTATTTATAAACTTTTCATTGTTTGATGCACGATTGCTGATACCAGAATGATTTTCCAATTCGTGAAGTTTGCTTTCGATGTTTGCAATTCTTCCAGTTAGAATTTTTTTGACATCAGTTGAACTCATTTCATTTGTGACATTCATTTCATTTGTTAGATTCATTTTATTTGTTACATTGAAATAGGTTTTGTAGATTGGAAATATTGCATCAATTTTTCTCACTTGGGCTAATGCTTCTTCCGATGTGTATTTGGGTTTGAAGGGATCGGGACGGCCTGAATCTGAAGCTTGAGGGTTATACCTCCAATTGTCTGGCAGTATCTTAGTTAACGGCTCTTGTTCATATCTCAATAAAATTGAATGATAACCATTCAATAAATAAGTCAAAGTTTTTATTTCTTTAGTATCATTTGCTGAAATTTCTCTCAAATTTTCTGATAATGTCGAATTTTCTTCACTCACTGATTCTGTTGTGGTTTCAGTGTCATTTGCCATCAGCGCATTGATTACACCTTAAAATAAATTCAAGAATTCTCAAGAATTATTTACATTTGATATTCCTTACCTGCAGTGAAAATTGTAACAAAGATGATCAAAAGAATTCTCATGTTGAAGCTTCAAAAGATAAATCTGAACTGAAATGCCTTTAAGTTGATTTTGGATCAACAAGTGAAACGCAAATAAGAAAAAACGTAATGAAAATCAATATTGAATCTGAAAATGTGATGATTTAAAAAGGAAACATTTTATTTTTCTGATATCTAGAAACATCAGTGAATGGAAAAATACTTTAATAAAGTTCATATAATTCGCACTTAAGAATAGTTTGTAAAATTTATTAACATTTTAGATTCAAATTTCAAATTCAAAGCCATCGTTTCCAGATAAAAAGTAAATAAAATTAATTAAGTTTGTCACTTTCACGTTGAACAATCTCTTTGAAGATTTCTGATAGTCTCGAAAATTCTTTCGCTTCTTCATGAGAGAATTGGAGAAGAATTGACGGTAATAATTTCAAGTACTTTAGCGCAAATTTCGTTTCTTCAACAACGCAATGAACTCCAAAAGCTTTTCGTTTCTTAATATCAGATTGTTGGTTGCTGTTTGTCGGTTCAAAAACTGATTTCCCCACCATGACATTTCGAAGGTTTAAGGACTTTGGTGCCACCGTTTGATCATTTATTGTTTTCTCTACTCTTTCACACATATCGGAATGAGCTGTAAGTACTTCAATAATCATGTTAAGCCGCTCAAGCACAGCACCTTGTTGATCTCTTGAATATTTTTCACTTTCTTCAGATATTTCATCAAATTTGTTACAAAAATTTTCAAAATTTGTATCGTTTGTTTCTCGCATGATTGATCTGACTGTCTTAGCCATTTCGGAAAATTCATTCACTTGTGTCATTTCACGTTTTGTTTGTTGTTCTATTAAAACTTTAAGTTTCACAACATAGTTGAGCATTTTTCTTATTATGTTACGATTATTAACAAGAAGTTCTAAGTTAAATTGATCATTTTTAATTTTCATAGAATGATGAAGAAACTCTTCCGGGTCTTCATTGTAAGCTTCTTGAAGTAAATTCTGATGATTATCTGATGACTCAGTTAAAAATATTTTAAACATTTCATCTTCTGAAATGATAGGATGATGGCTAACAAGACGCAACCATCTCTGAAGACCTTGTCGACGTTCTTCTAGAAAGCAATCAAGCATCAACTGCTTTGGCGGTAACCGTGGAATTATTCGGTTCACATATTTTGTGGTCATAAAATTGTAGAGCAGCAAGAAATCATTATAACGTCGTTCGACATTACTACTCAGTTTTTCTGATTTTATCTACAAAAAAGAGAATATTGAGTAATAGTTCAAATAAAATACATTGAAAAGAAATCTTCTACTTCATATTCAGTGTGCTTTATAAACGTTCCTTTTCTCTCCGGCAACAGAATCACTTTAATTGTATCGGATATGTAATAATTATCAGATGAAAGACTTTGGTTTGACGAACTTTTTCCGGAGTTTACGTCGATATCTTCCATTTCAACACTATCAATAAGCGATGGAAATATTTCTCTTACGACCTAAGCACTTAGAATAATTAAATTTCACAACTTCCTATATAAAAATAATGAAAAGAACTCTAAGCAAAAATAAAATCTTTAATTGCGAGAAGCACATTTACTACTGTTGTTCGTTCGTTGAAAAAGTATAAGAGCGAATGACTCAACTAAGCTATCAGCTGTTATTGAGAAATATGAGCGTAAAATATTTATTGAGTTTCTAGCGTTAGACGAGAGTTAAGTTTTTTATTCATGATCGTTACTTGTGATCAAAATTAATTTTTTATAAATTTAATGTTGATTAAGACAATGAAGGGATTAAGATTAAGGTTAAGATTAAGATTAAACAAGATTAATAACGATCGGCCTATGAACACAATTAAAAATGAATATCTAGTGGAACTTGTTGAAAGAGCATTGGAATAGAAGAATTTCGATGATGGTAAAAATAAAACACAATTCCACTACAACTGAGGAAAATCTTTGTACAAATTCCACTAATCTAACTCCTAGAACTTTTTTTTATTTCTTCAGACAAACAAAAATGTAAATATTTTCGATAAAGTCATGTTTTTGTTCCTAAAAGAGCTGTTGGGCAAATTTTATTTAAAAAAGAGCGTAAATAAACAAAATTAACACTTTTAATGCTGCTTCCGACATTGACCGCGCAGTCTGGTTTTAAAGTTTTTCAAGTTTGGATATCTTTGTCACAACGAATTGGGATTTTAAATAAATTTAGATAAATAATTTTAATGAAAAGTTTCCATTTCTGAAATGCAATGGAAATCGTGGTTGTGTTGTTGCAAGAGTTGGTGTAAAGCAGATGTTGATGTGAGTTTAAAATGCAGAGAGTTTTAGAATCTTTTCTTCGGTGTTACTTGAAGAATTTTTCGAATAAATATTTAATGAAGATTGGGCTAAAAATAAATTAGGTAATTTTATTCAGAGTTGGGATTTGACTGACTGACTGACAGACATTGACATGTCAGTCAGTCAGTCAATCGAGTTGAACGGAACATTTGCCCATCTCTGATTTTATTGGAATCTTCAAACCTTTCTTCGAAACTTTTCATATGCAATATTTTTTAAATTTTTTTTATTCTTTTATATAAAATTGGAATGCTTGTTGATAAAGAAGTTGTGCAACAGGTTTTCCGCGTGATAAATGTAAATATTCTCTCACTTAGTAGCTTTAAACTCAAGTTTTTGGCGAGATGAGACCAAAACGGATTCAAATCTACACAAGCAAGCATCAATGATGTGATATTCTCACATTACAATATGAATTTTACTCTCACAACAGTTGGATAAACCTAAATGGAATCAGTTTTGATTCGGCTTTTAAAGTTGATTGTTGTCATTTTGTCATGCCAATTAGTTTGGATAATTGTTTATTTTTTTAAACTTTGTGACAGCCAATATCATTTAGTATTAAAATTCTTCACTGGTTGATAGGAATGTAAACTTTCTTACTCAAATATCAGTAACGAAAGAGATCTATCGAAGGGCAAACCTCACGGAAATGCTTAATAGTGCGTCAATTGTATTTATCTTCTCAATAGACAGAAAACTTAAAAGTGAAGAAAGAGAAATAGAAATCTCAAGTTCAGTAAATCTATTGAATTCATGAAAACAAAAAAGGAGATTTCATAGTAAATCGAGAGTCTCAAGATGAGGTGGGCACTGAGAAATTGTGGTGTCGCTTATATCAATGACGCAGTGAGTTCTTTCAGCCTTGATTTGTTCGTCTTGAAGTTTAACTTTTCATATTCATTTAAATTTGTGAATATGGTCTTTTTTTTGTTGATTTTATGCCGGTAAAGATTTGCCAGTCATCACGTATTTGTTACTAAAAATATTTTTCGGATCATTTGGATTTTATGGATCAGTAGGGAAAATTTAATTTAAAGGAATTTAAGTTAAAGAAAAATTGGCAAGCATTTGTAATATTAAATGGAAATAAAATAAGTAGTAAAAAGTTGAAGGTGCACTTTATTAAAAAAGTGTGTTAACTTCGCTTTCAGCTTGAAGTTGTTAATTGACAAATTTGTAAGATATTAGCTAATATGAATAACTTGTAGATTATTTTCTGTCATAAGGTATATTTTTACAATAATTGTTCGGGACTCTTGTTCATAATCATTGCAGAGACTTGAGTATCCAGAAGTTCATGTTGAATAAACGCTACTGCAATCTGACTTACGGTGTTGAATCACCAGAAGGTTAACAACAAGTTTCGGAGTAAAATTTCTTTACACGCATGTTACCAAAAGTTGAATATTTTATGCGTATCAATCTTTAAGCTTTTACATAACAAATAAAGTAGAATGCAGCAATAAAAAATAGTATCTATAATTAAGACTTTTTAAAAACTGCAACTAAAGTTATTTAATTAATAAAATCCGATATTTATCAATTCCTTGAACTTCGCATTGTCACGAGTATGGTCAGCAAGTTTCAATCGAAGCGTCTATGTTTAAACTTGAAATATACAGGTTACTTTGAAAACATCACGCTAATATAAATAAGATAATCTTTTTATTAATTGCAATTAATTTTATAAAAAATAGTGAAACAAAAATCTAACGGTCTTAAGAAATATAAACTTTATTAAAAAACACTACAATTGTTTTCTATAACCTTACAAATGTTGTGAGAGCCCTTACACAAAAAATGATTATTGAATATTTTCTTATCTTCTAATTACATCAAATTAAGATCCACTTAATTACTATAAGCTTATGACACTTGTGTATTTGATCATATCTATCTATTTGTTTCTGATTGAAGCATGCAATTATCTTTGCATTTTTATTCTACTTTGCTAAATTAATGAATTAGGTAATTGCTGATCATTTCGCGGTATGAATTTATGTTAATATTTAATTTGCCTTAGATTTGAAGATTTCTGTTATCATATAACTTGTCATGTTTTTGATGACAAATATTTGGATTCTATTCTAATACATTTTGAATATTTTTTATGACTTTAGACGTCATATTCAAATTATGTCGTTAAGATATGTGGTGTGTATGTATAGCTAAACACTAACACCTTCACAGTAGTTTTGCTCTTGTGCTCTTAAAATCGGAAGAATATTTTCGCTTATGAATAATTTATTAAATATTAAGTGCCCTCTTGCTTGTAATTGCTAATTTCTGTACAAAAGATCAATTTAGTGGAACCGTCTCAAAAAGAATGTCGAAGATCATTCTATCTCGCGATATTTATCGAGATATATCCAAATTTTCTCTCGCGATCGTATTTGTTTATTTTGTGTAATCAACATCAATTTATAAACAAAAAAGTCAATCTAAAGTTTATTGACATTAAAAATTTAAGATTTATTGACTGTTATTAGTTGTTAATTGCTGATGCATTTCCGTTCGCCAGATGCACGAGAAAGCCTGTCTTCGTTCGGATTCAAAGAAATCTTTGCATCGCTCGAGTGATTCGATCTCCGGCTTAGAAGACAAGAATGCCAGCATCATAGCATTATCCTATCGAAGGATCACATCTTTAATGTAAGTATTTGAAATCAAAACGAGGCTATTTCAATTAGCTTAATTAAATCTTCTGACGAGAGATTTTCTGTCGAAAAGATAAAAAAATATTTGTCAGTGATGTTCTCAAATATCTCTCTTCACTCTTTTGAAATTCTTAAATTAGACACAAAGTGACGAAAACTTCACAACACAACATCAAATGACTGACAAAATATTGCGACGATTCCTCTCACAAGCAACATTGAAAAACATTTTTCAAAAAAAATAAAATAAATTCAAGTTCATGAAAACGAAATGAGATCATGAAAGAAATACTTGAAGAGAAAAAAACTGTCGCGTGTGTGGGACTGTGGAAAGTAATTGAATAAAAAAAACGTGAACAACAAAAACCCTCGTTAACTCAAACAGAACGAGCAAATAGGTCGCAATGAATCTAAATTCTCTCTTTTGTGTTGTCCAATCCAGTCTTGCGGGGAATTGTCAATTGATAGGTTCGCAAACGAGATGAGCATTGCAAAATAAGCTTTTAAATTTTTAAATAGAAATAATATATCACCGTAAGCTGTCTTTGTCCCTCATTCATAAAATAACATATTTTTATATTTATCAAAATTGGCTTTATGTGCAAGACTACATTTTCATATCTCGAGGCGAGGAAAACTGAAGATCGG